ACGCTAGCGTGCATCCACTGAGCTGCCGAAACCAGCGACCACCCACCGCGGTCAAACGCGATCAAATGTCACAATACCGTCATTGGCGGTCAGCGGGTGAATGTCATTTTGTTTTGTGCGGACGAGGATCATTCTCGGTAGCTCAGTGGATGAACGCTCGTGTCGTGAATTGGCCGGTGGGAGAAGCCCGGTTCGAGCCCCCCTGAGTGGCCGACTTTTTGGCTCCTAGTTGGAACGGTTTGCTATTGGAGGCTGCGACCACATATTAGAGCAACAATAATAATCGCTTTAAATTGGAGCGTTGGCTGCGGCGCTACTCATAACCCCCCAGTTCCCACGGCTCTGGACCATTGCCGTGCGAAACAATAGACACCAATCTGCTCATTCAAAACCTTAATACTAATATGTTATACAAAATATAGCTCCGCACCTCGATGCACGAGTGACATAAGTTCTATCGGCTGTCCCATTGCCACGCTTAAGTGTGTCGTAATGTGCATTGCAAGTATGATGATAGGCGCTGTCTTGGGGATAGGACATTTTAACAACTGCTTTAGCACAATTGTTAGGTAGAATAATTGGCGCCTTGAGACGCGAAAGTTAACTACACTCGCTCAGCCGCGCGATGTCCGTGCTCCCACCCCACCTCACTCCCCAGCCCTCGCCAGCCGCCGCGCGGCGCCGACCCGAGCCATGCCTCCGGGCTCGGCCCTCACCGCTGCGCTGACGTCACAGGCGGCTCACATCGCCTTCCAGCCACCGACCCAGACCGGTGGCATACGGTGTTGGTAGGCTGTGCCGCTTGACAAGTAAGTGAAGCGGCACAGTCTACCGGTACCAGGCGGCTGCTGCCAATGCTGAGCCATAGGAGCCCGGTGGATAAAGAGTTGTGGAACATCAATCTGCCCCCGAGTGTACCTAGGCCGCATTAAATTTTGGACATGATCCGGCCAGGGGTGCGCCCTTGGCGCGTGCTCGCGTGCCCATAGGGTTAACATTAGAATCGGCAAAAACACGCTATTGCTCGGGAACGGTAAGGGCTACGGGGGTGAAATTTTCGCTGTAAGTCGAACGCGTGCACTCATTTGTCGTATTAAATTTTCGAGGGGGTTGGTTCAGCGGTGTGCACGTGGTGGGGCCGCGACCAGCGCCAAGCAGAGTGCACGTGCTTTAGGCTCAGTTGTTCGCTTAAAAACTGAGTGGGCCGGCAGGTCATTGACCTTTGACAACGAAGGCCGACACAAGGCACCGCTCGCCAAGAGGATTCGCCAGTAAATACAATTAATTTGTTTTTGCAATATCTCAGCCGTTTCTGGGCCGATTTAGCTGAAACTTGGACTGTCGGTGGTAGTGTAGGGTAGGGTAGGGTAGGGTAGGGTAGGGTTGGGTAGGGGATTGTAGGGTAGGGTAGGGTAGGGTAGGGAATTGTAGGGTAGGGGTAGGGTAGGGTAGGGTAGGGTAGTGTAGAGGTAGGGTGGGGTAGGGTAGCGTAGGGTAGGGTAGGTTAGGGTAGTGTAGGGTAGGGGTAGGGTAGGGTAGGGTAGGGTAAGGGTAGGGTAGGGTAGTGTAAAGGTAGGGTAGGGTATGGTAGGGTAGGTTAGGGTAGGGTAGGGTAGGGTAGGGTAGGGTAAGGTAGGGTAGGGTAGGGTAGGGTAAGTTAGGAGTAGGGTAGGGTAGGGTAGGGGTAGGTAGGGTAGGGTAAGGTAGGGTAGTGTAAGGGGGAAGGTAGGGTAGGGTAGTGTAACGGTAGGGTAGGGCAGGGTAGGGTAGGGTATGGTAGGGTAGGGTAGGGTAGGGTAGGGTAGGGTAGTGTAGGGGTAGGGTAGGGTAGGGTAGGGTACAGTAGGGTAGGGGTAGGGTAGGGTAGGGTAGGGTAGGGTAGGGTAGTGTAAGGGTAGGATAGGTTAGGGTAGGGTATGGTAAGGTAGGGTAGTGTAGGGGTAGAGGTAGGGGCAGGGTAGGGTAGGGGTAGGGTAGGGTAGGGTTGAATTGAGTAACATCCTAACTTATTAAGGGCTCGAACAACTCGCATGCATCACCATCATACTTTATAGTTCAATTAAAAGCAGTTACACAAATAATACCAATAAAAATGCAAGATTCTACACCCAAACTAATGCATCCGTTTATCATACATATCAAAAGATACAGTTATCGCGTAAACCTGTACCTCTAGTCTATATTATAAATCCTAAATAATCCGCCGCCGCCGCCGTGTGCGACGTAGTCACTTTGTAGCGCTTATTGCGGCGGCGTCTGTTGACCTACGGCCGTGAAATTTTACAGCGATGTGGGCCACCTTTACACGTAGGTCGCATTAACTTTTGGACATGATGCGGCCGGGGGTGCGCCCGCGGCGCGTGCTCGCGTGCCCATAGGGTTAACATTAGAATCGGCAAAAACACGCTATTGCTCGGGAACGGTAAGGGCTACGGGGGTGAAATTTTCACTGCAAGTCGGACGCGTGCACTCATTTGTCGTATTAAATTTTCGAGGGGGTTGGTTCAGCGGTGTGCACGTGGTGGGGCCGCGACCAGCGCCAAGCAGAGTGCACGTGCTTTAGGCTCAGTTGTTCGCTTAAAAACTGAGTGGGCCGGCAGGTCATTGACCTTTGACAACGAAGGCCGACACAAGGCACCGCTCGCCAAGAGGATTCGCCAGTAAATACAATTAATTTGTTTTTGCAATATCTCAGCCGTTTCTGGGCCGATTTAGCTGAAACTTGGACTGTCGGTGGTAGTGTAGGGTAGGGTAGGGTAGGGTAGGGTAGGGTTGGGTAGGGGATTGTAGGGTAGGGTAGTGTAGGAGTAGGGTAGTGTAGGAGAAGGGGTAGTGTAGGAGTAGGAGTAGTGTAGGAGTAGGGGTAATGTAGGAGTAGGGGTAGGGTAGGAGTAGGGGTAGTGTAGGAGTAGGGTAGAGTAGGAGTAGGGTAGAGTAGGAGTAGGGTAGAGTAGGGGTAGGGTAGAGTAGGAGTAGGGTAAAGTAGGAGTAGGGTAGAGTAGGGTAGGCGGGCGGGCGTGCGTTGCGGGCGTTTTTTGCGGCGGTATTTGCGTTTTTTGCGGTGTTTGTGTTTGGCGGCGGGCGGGCGAGCGTTGCGGGTGTTTTTGCGGTGTCTGCGTTTGGCGGCGGACGGCCGTTTTTTGCGGCGGTTTGCGGCGGGCGGCCGTTTTTTGCGGTTTGCGGCGGGCGGCCGTTTTTTTGCGGCGTTTCCCGGTTGGCGGCGGGCGATGCGGGCTTTTTTTGCGGCGGCGGTGTTTGCGTTTTTGCGGTGTTTGCGTTTTGCGGCGGACGGGCGTTTTTTGCGGCTTTTTTGCGTTTTTCTGGGGTTTTCGACGGGCGGGCGATTGTTTCTTTTTTGCGAAGTTTGCGTTGGCGTTTTGCGCGTCTTGCGGTGTTTGCGTTTTGCGGCGGGCGGGCGGTTTTTCACAATTCAAGTCCCAACCTTCGGATCCGCAGTGCTGTTCGACAAGCGCTGCCCGGGCCCGCCTTACAGTTTAATTAAAAACAGCTACCCAAATCTACCCAAATAATACAGATAAAAATACAAGTCAATCACCCAAACTAATGCAACCGTAACATAACATAAATCAAAACATACAGTTATCGCGTAAACCTGTACCTCTAGTCTATATTATAAATCCTAAAAAGTACCCCGCCGCCGCCCACGCCGTGTGCGACGTAGTCACTTTGTAGCGCTTATTGCGGCGGCGTCTGTTGACCTACGGCCGTGAAATTTTACAGCGATGTGGGCCACCTTTACACGTAGGTCGTATTAACTTTTGGACATGATGCGGCCGAGGGTGCGCCCGCGGCGCGTGCTCGCGTGCCCATAGGGTTAACATTAGAATCGGCAAAAACACGCTATTGCTCGGGAACGGTAAGGGCTACGGGGGTGAAATTTTCACTGCAAGTCGGACGCGTGCACTCATTTGTCGTATTAAATTTTCGAGGGGGTTGGTTCAGCGGTGTGCACGTGGTGGGGCCGCGACCGGCGCCGAGCAGAGGGCACGTGCTTTAGGCTCAGTTGTTCGCTTAAAAAACTGAGTGGGCCGGCAGGTCATTGACCTTTGACAACGAAGGCCGACACAAGGCACCGCTCGCCAAGAGGATTCGCCAGTAAATACAATTAATTTGTTTTTTGGTTAGGGTAGTGTAGGGTAGGGGTAGGGTAGGGTAGGGTAGGGTAGGGTAGGGTAGGGTAGGGTAGGGTAGGGTAGGGTAAGGGTAGGGTAGAGTAGTGTAAGGGTAGGGTATGGTAGGGTAGGTTAGGGTAGGTTAGGGTAGGGTAGGGTAAGGTAGGGTAGGGTAGGGTAGGGTAGGGTAAGTTAGGAGTAGGGTAGGGTGGGGTAGGGGTAGGTAGGGTAGGGTAAGGTAGGGTAGTGTAAGGGGTAAGGGTAGGGTAGTGTAACGGTAGGGTAGGGTAGGGAAGGGTAGGGTAGGGTAGGGTAGGGTAGGGTAGCGTAGGGTAGTGTAGGGGTAGGGTAGGGTAGGGTAGGGTACAGTAGGGTAGGGGTAGGGTAGGGTAGGGTAGGGTAGGGTAGGGTAGTGTAAGGGTAGGATAGGTTAGGGTAGGGTATGGTAAGGTAGGGTAGTGTAGGGGTAGAGGTAGGGGCAGGGTAGGGTAGGGGTAGGGTAGGGTAGGGTTGAAGTGAGTAACATCCTAACTTATTAAGGGCTCGAACAACTCGCATGCATCACCATCATACTTTATAGTTCAATTAAAAGCAGTTACCCAGTTCTACACAAATAATACCAATAAAATTGCAAGTTTCTACACCCAAACTAATGCATCCGTTTATCATACATATCAAAACATACAGTTATCGCGTAAACCTGTACCTCTAGTAAGGATAAAGGATGATTTCTTTTCAGTGTTTACTGAGCTAAATGCCTCGGAACCACTCTCTCAGCGACATTTCCATGCCCTTTATCAAAGTATCCATTCTTCCTTCTCCGAGCTCCATCCAGCGATGTGACCCTCCCCGTCCGATGTGCGTCAGGTAAGGAACCGGCGCCTGGGACCGGTGGCGAGGACCCCTCTCGAGCGCCAGCTCCAGCCGATGAGGGGGCCGACCCCGGTCCGGCGGCGGGCTGGACCGCTCGTCATGAGCCTCCCTCCGACCTCGGCTTCAGTTCCGACCCACAGCCTGCCTCCAAAGAGGTGAGGTGGCAGCCAGGGGTACGAGATGTGGTGTTCAATTTGGGATCTAATTGTATTGTGAGGGCTTACGACCCCATTGGATGAGCCACAACTGCGAACACTTTGATGTAGGTAATTGATATAGCTACTTTTTCCATGTCCTTGCACAGTTTTAGACTCCCACGTTTTGCTTTACTTAAGACGCAAGTTTAAAAGAGTTTCACGGGACCTTTTTAGTATTTCGTAACAGGATAAGAACGACCATGTTTGATGCAGTTCTTATCACTATATCATTGCATGATAGACTGAAGAAAGTGTGAATGAATAATTCATAGTTCTTGCGTTGATAAATGCGTCACTCATCGTGCGACTTGACCTAGTTCTCGCGGGCCAGCACCAGTTTATCACAATAACGGCCGCCGAGGGATCTCGCCTGAAATACTGCCCAGCTTCAACCGACGATCCATGCATAAACTAAAACCGTTGCTAGCCGTATACGGCAATAGCTCCGGCATAAAGAGCGCCTGATCGATGAAGCGTGGGGAGGTAAAGGATCCCAGTAACATCTCCATCTGCATGCATGCAGGGTAAAATAACGCTACGATGATCTCTGCAGGCGTCGCGATCCAGCTCTTCAGCCACCACCCCGCGCGAGCCGCACGCCACCTCGTTTCCCGAAACGATCCCCGAAGAGACGTCTTCCATTGAAGAGGAGCACGTTATGATCTTCCGTCTCGACTCACTACCAGAGGAAGAAGACGAGGCCCAGAGACGACCCAAGGTCTACAAGGTCAGTACAAGGTCGAGGTTGACCAAATGCTTTGAGACGCTTCCACTTTATGACGCTAATAAAAATCCGAGCACAAATTTTCATGCTCTAAAGGGTTTCTTATTGTTGTTGCTCATTGAAAACAAATGACATTGAAGATTCAAGCATATTTGGTGTTGCATTCAGACGCATTGATCAAGTTCAAATGCTTTCAGGTCCCTTCTCGAATGCTGAGTAGGCAGGTCGCAGAATCTCGACCCAGTCCTCAGGAAAGCTTCCGTACCGCCGATAAAGGGTATGTTACAACCGTGCACAACATAAACTCTGCTCAATCCCATGTGAGGCATTGTAAATGTAGGGCTGTTGCGATTTTGTTTTAACTCAATGAATAGAGCGCCATTGGCTCAAAAGGGCCTCGAGTTTTGAAATCTTGGCCCATTATTTTCTACTGTAAAATAAAACAAATAAGCATTTGCTTCATAAGGGTAAGCATAGCTACAGCACCACTTTGCCAGTCAAATGAGCACTTTTTATAATACCTACACCGACTTGCGGTGATATAAAAGGTAAATCGATCGGCGCGTTGCTATATCTGCCCGGATGGCGCCGCGCTCACACCGATGCCACCACTGGCCCACCCGTGTGCAGGAGCATGGAGCAGGTGGAGTCTGCCTCCTCGCGGGCCAGCCACAACCCGCCGGCGGCCGTCGACCTCACGCTGGCGACATTCACCGACGTGGCCGTGCTACGCTGCCTCTTCATCCCGCAGTGGGTCGAGGAGGGCGTCTTCTGGGCCGTCCAGTTCCTCTTCTACCGGTGAGACAGCCGCAGAAAGATGAGCTAAATATTTCGGAAATTCCACTTAAATATAAATTTTATCATATACGAGACCCTAGGCCAGATATTCATTAGACTTCGCTAGAACTAGTGACATCTCATTTCATCGTTTCCCCGGTCCTGGCGGCTGGCGCCTTCCGCAATTTTAGCGGACGGTTAGACTGTCCCGCCGAACATCCAAGCCATGCGGATCAGACTAACTGCCAGGCGCCCGTGCCGCTATTCGTAGCACGACCAAAGCAAACGAGCACGCTGTTTCTCTAGTATTCAGCCATGTTTCCGTTGGCCGGCGAAAAAGTTGCTGTTTCCTTTGTCGATCTGCCGGTCTTTCCTTCCTCGTTTAACGTTCCACTTTAGCACGTTTCTTTTTAATGATGTGAAGCGGATCTTTTAAGTCCTTTCTTTGATTACTTTCCAATCCTTCTAAAGCCGGCTCGTGCTTCTGATTTCAGGTTTCTATTAACACATATATACGGGAGGTCCTTTAATGTAAAAGCGTAAAGGTACCTATTTGGTCTTTGTTTCAACATAAATTCGCAGCACAATCATGTTTATTTAAAAAACTCGACTGATAGGGTATCTGTTGTGCTCACTACCATAAACTTTTTTTTTTTTCTACCGCGTTCAGGCTGCGTGAGATGACCAACGATGGCACTGAGGAGGATTTGCCTCGAAAGAGGAGCAACTCGCTGCCGGTGCCGAAGATCGAGGTCTCCCTGTATCAGAGTCCGGAGACGAAGCGGCGAGAGGCGGCCAGCCGGGACGCCCCGCCACCATCCCCCGAGCCCAAGTACTCGGGAGGTAAGCCGACCCGCAGTCGACCCAGTCGGTCAATTGGTCACGTGACCTATTGCCAGTCACGTGACGGTCCAATCAGGGATGGAGGCTCAGCGGGTGTTAGTTGGGGGGGGGGGGCATCCCCGGAAGATCGGGTCGAGAACGTTTGACCTGGCTCATTGACTGCATTACCCGCCAGCTTCTCCATTGCACGCTAAATTTGTACTCGCCTTTGCACCCATTTCCCTCACTCCTTTAGACGCCGCTACGGCAGGGGAAAGTCTAATCGGGCCGTTTATTACACCATCCAGAAATTGTTCCGTCATTAGCATAAGCAAGTCTGTCTCGCCGCAGAGTTCATGGCCTCGCCGACGGGCGGACCGCTGCACAAACGATCTGCCAGCGAGCGCGGACGCAAGGGTAAGACCCGGATGGCTGACTTCCGGGCGTTCGTCGAGACCAAGCTGAAGTCGCGGTCCCAGACGATGCTGGAGAGACTGGCGGGGGACGGGCGGCGCGGCTCGGCCTCCGGAAACTACCCGGTGGGTGGCTCTCATAGCTCCTCTCACTTCTCTTTCTTTCACTCTCCTTTCATTTTGGCTTTTTCTCTATTTTATATCCAGTATCCTCAATCTAAAAACTATTCGATGCAAAAACTTTATTCCCTGTCAGGTCTAACCTAACATAATGTAATGGAATGGCTAAACATAAGGTGGCAACAAAGAAATCCGGCAACGGATCTGTACGTATCATCACCAAAACACACAGCGACCACCATATGATGTCGTGTGCCTGGTTTGCAGAACTCGACATCTCAGTCGGACCTGAACGAGCCCGAGTCGCGAGCACGTTCCTCCATGGACCAGCACCGGGAGCACGGCGGCAGTTTTTCGGCGGCCGACTCGCATCAGTACGACCCTGTGCTCGGCCAGAACCTCGTCAAAGGGAAGAGCATGCCCAGCCTCAGGTGAGCCCGCCCAGCCGCACACGCGCCGCATTATTCACGGCCCTGTGCACAGCTTTGATGATCAGCGAGGGCCTTTGTGTCATTTAGTGGGAAATGCCGAACTATGTGATGGCTTCACGGGAATTTAGGCCTTGCTTCTTTTGAAAGGAAACGTTTGAATATCAGCCGCCAGTTTTATAGATTGCTTCGTTTTGTCACAATGCTACACATTCCCCTGCCATGGATTAGATAATAATGGATTAGATTACTATCTAAGATTTCGATCTAATCCATGGTCCTGTAAATCAATTCCACATGTTTCCCTTGTCTACATAACAAAAATACTAATGCGATAAGGTTATTGTTTTTATTGTACCATTCCAATGTTTATCAAACCCTCATAAAATGTAGAGAAATAAAAGGACAATTATAAAAATGAAAGTCACATTTTTTGCCACCAAGCATAAAACATTAAGGAGGGAAAACCTCAAGTACCGACATTTCTAAGCACACGCATACAATTACTCGCTATCCATTGTTAATATTCATTGCACATCAAACGACAAAACATTAAAAGCAGATTTAACACATACTACCCCTGTCAACGACACAGGAACAGGACTCATTACCTGCAATGGGAAAACGTTCATCCGACGTTCAACCGCTGTTTGTCTCCTTTTGTCTGTTCTGTCTCCTTTCTCCGTCTTCGTTTCAATACTCACGTTTCTCTCTCTCTATCAGCTCTATTGTAGAAGAGCTAGGGTAAGTGAGGTTTGCATTGTCATTGCCACACGTTTTCCTTGTTTACGATTAATTACTAACAGCGTGATACATTTACAATACTAGAGTAGCGAGGTTGAGTTTTCACTTACCATAAGTTGGCACAAATGCGTGTGCGGTACTTCGAGGCCTTGAAAAGCCGAAAGCTTTTTATAGAAGTAGTTTGGCCTGAATGTAATTAGACACATAGTTTGCCCGTCTGAATAGTTAGACATTCTTAAATGCAATATTGATGAGTTTCTGTGGCACAATTTTATGCATTTACTTAAAGTGAAGTTAAAGAAGTTTTGAGTCCACCTTTCACTGGCATATAACTGTTTCTGAAGGAAGCTTATCAGCCAATTTAAATTGTGTGTGACGTCTTGGAGGCGAAACATTAGGGATAATTCTAAAATGACCGTATTTGAAATAATGCATGTTCACATTACGCATGTAAATGCATTTTACTAGCAATGTCCAATGTACAAAATATTAGCTAATTTGAAATGATATAGTTTATCGCATGCTGTATAAATGACAGAATTTCAATAACTAGCAACTAACGCTTCTACTTCCTCACATTAGATAAACACTAAAGTGGTGAAAACACGAGCATGGTGTGGCTGCACAGAAGCTTTAGATAATATACGCATTAAAATGGTTGACCAGGAAAAAAAAACCTGCTGAACAGAAGGCCAGTACCGCAGCCAGCCACAAAAATAGACGCTCTAACATACATTTCGCTCGTTGGCGTACCTATAATTCAAGACGCACACATGCCATGCTACTTCTAATTCAAACTAAAAAGCATCATCCCTCTAGAGCTTGAATAAACGTAAGCTGACCGCACCTAGCCTAGCATAGGAGTGAAGAAGTGTTAGTTTTGAATATGCTTTTTCTTACCCATTTATTTAAGCTAAAGAAGAAATTTCTTAAATGTAGGGAACTATCAATAGTCGAATCGTCATCCTCAAATAATTAGGTATAGTGTATGCATCAACTTGTGCGATGTAACTATATTTTTGATAGCTCAAAGCGTTAAAAAATTTTCGTTTCAATTTCAAGACTTCAAGAAGACGTTATCTTAAATTCCAAACTTTACAGCTCAACCAATCTAGTAGGCAAACGTAGTTACCTAATCCATTGCGATATAGTCGAGCTGGCCACTTAGTTACAATTATTGTACAGTTGGCAGCACTTTCCATCCATACAGCGCGGCGGCATGTAGCCGAGGCGGCAGTGCTGCCCGCAGCTCCTCTCCGACAGGCTGACCGAGCCTCCTCAGCGGGCCTCGCGCGAGTGACCGGCCGCCGTCCGGCAGGTACATGGGCGTGCCGCAGATGGCGCAGCCGCCCAAGACGCTGGCGTCGCGCATCGCCAGCGTGCCGCACCCCATCATCACGGTGACGCAGCACACGCCGTCGCCCACGCCGACCCCCTCCGTGTCGGAGGAGGGCCCCGGCGGCGGCGGCGGCGGCGGCGGCGGCGGCGGCGGTGGCGGCGGCGCAGCCCGGCCGTTCCTGCGCGACCTGACGCGCCGGCCAGTCACGCTGAACCGCAGCTACTCGGACTCTGACGTGTCTTACAGCGCCGAGGAGCTGACCGAGGCCGCCGGATCCACCTACTACATCAACAAACACGGCGGCATCGACCTCGTCATGCTGCTCAAGGTAGACGCAGGTGGCAGAGCTCGGCTGCACAATTGGCTTCATTCGATGAAGGATGTTATTTGATATTTCTTTAGGAGTTTGTCATGCGGCTATTCTCCGCAACAAACTATAAAGTTTAACACTACACTTCTAATACATTTATAAAGTTAATTGTAATTAAATCAGTTTTCGAGTTTTCCAATTATTTGCCCGGTTCGATCCGACGTCCGCGCGCCTGCAGGGCCTCCACTCGGTGGTCCTGAGGAACCGGCAGACCAACACACTGCGCGTCACCGAGGCCATCGTCAGCCTGCTGGAGATCATGCTGTCCATGGACGTGATGCTGCTGGACCGCGAGGAGGAGCGTCAGGAGGGGTCGGCCGCCGCTGCCGGAAGCTCCGGGGCAGCCGCGACAGAGGAGACGGCCGAGCCCGAGCGGGCCAAGGCCGGCTTCCTCGTGCACTATCTGTACATGGATATACTGGTCAGGTGAGATAGCTGCCACCTGAATTTATAGGCTTTGTGATTAGTTTAAGAACTTGTTACATACTTAACGTTTGTGTTCATAAATGTTTAAATGTAACGAATTTCGGTTCGCTGCCTATTTGACGCCCTTCTAGTCATAAAACGCACTGAACACTTACTGTTAAGTTCATCGAGTCAGCTGTTGAGTGTCTGTGCGGTGGCGTTTACGACAGGTCTTTCAAGCACATGGGCTGTGCGCACGGCTGCCGAGAGGGTTACCGCGGCCCGAGTGCCGAGTTTCTGCGCTCCCAGGCGCAGCTTCTGCTCACACGTCTGCTGAAGATTGACGAGCGCAGTGTGAGTGTCAGGGAGTGAGGGTCGCCCGGGGAGAGAGTAGGCGAGATAGAGCAGCGAGGTAGAGCAGGGAGGAGGAAGTGCCCGCAGCAGCGCTCCGGCTAATCGTCACAGTGAAGATTGATGAGCCGAGTGGGTGGCGAAGCTTGACCGTACACAAGAGCTTCCATTTGTAGATGCATTTCCCGAGTCATTTGTATATGTGCAGCCAGCCCACGACGCAGAAATGATATGATAAAGTAGTCGGCCAGACAGAGAAAAATATTATTTCCTGCGAGGTTAACTGAACTGTTTACAAGTTGCAGTTGAACAAATTTAACTGAGCACAGTCTGTCATGAAACAGGCATTGCAATGCTGAGCTTAATCTCACGAAGTAAGAGTTTCAACTCTTTTATTTTTGCTATTCAATTATTTTCGTGACCGTTTTATCGAATGGGCAGCCATTGTAATCATATGACGTTGATTTCTACAGTTTAAAAAGTACATGCGGGAGCTGTCATCTCAGTCGTCGATCCACGAGCTGATGGAGTTTCTGCACTCGTTCGTCGGCTGGTGCGGCGACCACGGCCAAGCGGCATCGCCGATGAGTGAGTAACGTTTTCGGGTGCTCTTGAATGAGTTTCAAACTGATTTAGGTACGTCATAGCTGTGCTGTGTATGTTGTATGTTTGCTACTGTACTGCCATTTTATAGACACAAAGGCTGGCGAACTGCTTGGCAAATTCGACAACAAAAGATCGAGTGAAATCCCTCCACCTGTGACAGTAATTTTCGAAGTTCGTGACATTCTCACTCATATGCACTGGCATTGTATCAGCTGCCACGCCCACTTCGTTATACTCGGGTAAACAAAAAACACATCACGTTACACCACACAGCATCCACCCGCACTACTCGTTCATACAAAATCTACATCACTTTCTCGCACCCTCGGTCGTTCCGTGGGGTCGGCAGAGCGCATCGCTCCCCGCGAGTATCCGCGATCGTCGACCAGCCGGGCTGGAAACGTTCCCCGGACAGCGATCTCTCACCACGACTGAGCTATGGCGTCAGTAACAGCACAGGACTGCAGCGGAACGAGATAGAGATATAAGGGGGGGGGAGAACGGATAGAATTAGAAAATACAAACAGCGTGGCGAAATAGAGAGAAAGAGAGAGAGAGAGAGAGAGAGAGAGAGAGAGAGAGAGAGAGAGAGAGAGAGAGAGAAGAGAGAGAGAGGAGAGAGAGATGGAGATGGGGATAGAGTGCAAGAGGGAGGGAGAAACAGAAAGAAAGAGAGAAAGAGAGCGAGAGAGAGAGAGCAAGGAGAGGGAGAAGGAAAGAGGGAGAGGGAGAGAGAGGGAGAGAGGGTTGGTTGTTAGAATAAACAGAAAAGATTAGAGGTTCAGTGCGGCACGATTGTGCTGTGGCCCGCGTCCACTCTCTGTAATCGTAATCCGGTGTGACGGGGACCTCCTGACGCGGCGGCCGGCCGGGCGCCAAACGACTATCGGCCGTCACCAGCCATCAATTACACACACGGCGATAGCCGCGGCAGAGCCCGGCGATAGCCACAGCAGAGGGCAGGATGGCAGAACACAGGGATGGTCATGACGATAGATAGCTACGGCAGAACGTGGGATGGCAGAGGACAGGGAGGACCGCGGCAGAGGGCGGGGAGGACCGCGGCAGAGGACAAGGAGGACCGCGGCAGAGGACAGGGAGGACCGCGGCAGAGGGCGGGGATGGCCGCGGGAGAGGGCATGGGTAGGGAAGGAAGAGGGCAGGGATGGCAGATGGCAGGGATAGCCACATGATGGCGGTGGGCCGTCACAAGATACACGCCCTTGCTTTATCTAGTTATATCGTTGCGTTGTCCCTCATGTTCAGTACAATCGAGAGGGTGGCAATATTCATCAGGGCACAAACTCACATCGGCGATCGATCCCGCCTCATTCACGTATTGTCTGCCGTCCCCAGACCAAAAGCGAACGTCCGGAAAGCAGGCTGACAGTGCCCACCAGTTCGGCTACGCCACCAACTTTGGCGCCGTCCGCGGCACTGCCAGCGTGCGTGGCGTCGAGGGCCAGATGATCGGCATCATCTTCGGCGAGTACATGCGCCGACTGGTGGCCATGTCGCGGGAACTCCGCCTGCCCGAGCACCTGGTGAGTGGCGGACGCGTACGGTGCGGCGGATTGTCGAGTGTCGGTGTTGGACAGAATCGGGCAGTGCCGGACTGTCGGTGTCAGTAGATGTCAAACTGTGTCAGGGAGTGTCGGAGACAGTGTCAGGCAGTGTCGGCTTTCGGTAGTGGACTGATATGCGAGTACGTGCCGCGATATGACAGGCAAGCTAAGAGCTGTCACTTTCCTCTTGTTTCCACGCAGGCCCTGTACCACGACGTCCGACAGTTTGTGGTATACGTTCGCGACAACCACGGCTGCATCTTCAGGAAGGTGCTCTTGGCTGGCTTTTTCGACTCGACCGACCGCAAAAACGTACAAAACACAATCATCACCACCAAAGTAGTTCGGTAAGAAATTACAGTATTTCGGTAAGAAATTGATATCAGCTTACCACATAAAAATAGTTTTCATTAGGCTGGTCCGTGAAACTTCCTTGAAGACCCATTTAAGGCAATATATTTTTGCTTATTACTAATTGTCTTAATGATCATCTTTGTAGCTCAACGTTTGTTTCTTTCATGACAGGCGCATCCACATGATGGCCGAGCCCGGCTCCAGGGAATCCCCGACCAACTACTACCATACAGAGGACAAGGAGGAGCGCGAGGAGAGAGGACACAAAAAGTCCTTCTTCAGGAAAAAGGGCACCGTGGCCTCGCTGTCCTCAGTGATACGGAAGGCACCCAGCGTCCAGGTAAAGTTTGCCATGAAGTTTCTATCAGAAGGAAATGTTATTCTTATTTGTTGTATTTATTGGAAGTACTGATTTCCAGGGGCGTGGCTTTTGGTTTCTATCAGGTGAGCTTCAGTCATCATCGTGATCCTTAGTTGGAGTGAGTTTCATTTTCACTTCAAACTCTGTGCTGTATGTTATGACAGGTAGGTATTGCTTTCCCTTTACCATTTGAAGCACACTGAACGATTTTTGGTCGCATCGGGAATTTTAGAAAGACAAATTGTTTTCTGTAAACTTGTCCATTTTAATTGTTCACTCTTCAGTGGCAGGCAGTTTTTCACTCAATTCTTCCGATCGGTAGAGCATGCTGGACGCGGATGGCGACGAGAGCCCACCGGGTCCCAGCCCGGCGTCAACCATCCGCAGAAAGAACCGCCACTCGACGCGGGCCGCCGAGGAGCCGCGCACGCGCCGTGTGTCCCGCTTCGGTGAGTCACGTGACCCACCGCCCCGGGGGTACAAAATGACGTCACAGGCAGTGGGCGGGGCACCCGAGTGCGATGAAAAAACGCTGCAGAGTGCAGTTCACCGTTCATGGACTTCTGTAGATATCAGACCCGTGCAGGCAGTCGATGCTGTGCCGCTGTTCATTGATGTCATGCGGTACAGTCTACCTAGCGCGGTGAATTCCGAGAAACTCCCAGGCTGTTGCTACAGCATTGAATGCTAAATAGCTACTGGTCGGTTGTTAACTTGTTTTTTATCTGTGATCATAATTTTTTCCTCAGCATTGCAACGGTTAGGGGTGTACTGAAACAGTTTTGATAGACATTCTGGAAATCATAACATTGAATCAATATGATTTCATGTCATTGAAATAACGCCTGTCAACACTGTGCCAGACGGCGGATTTAAAAGAAGTAAGTTTTGGAGGACAGTTCTACCACGTTCTACATAATTGTGTTTGGCTCACTCACAGCGCACTAATGCACCCACTTCTTGATAACCACTGAAAACTCCCTCGGTTTATCTGTTTTGGAGGTTTGTAAATGTTCTTCAAATAAAATCGAAGCTCAGTTGGAATTAATAGCACCTACGGGAAAATGCTGCATTTCAATGTTATTAACGACTAACTAAGCTGGTGGAAGACTGTTTTCTTCGATTGACGTGCACCGCTATTCTTGAGCACACGCTTGTCTTCGCTTTCAACGATGTCACTAACTCTTCCTGGATGACAAACACAAATAACACGAATGTCATCTGCCTATCTTTGATGTGCACACACACTTTTACAAAGGCCATTTCGCTAAAACATCGAAGCCTGAGCTGTTATTTTTGGAATGCACACTCAGTACATAATTTCGGTGTATCTGCTGCCTGTATGGAGCCACTTATTGGATTCTGTCTCAACCTGCAAGGAGATAAGTAAGCCCAAAACCGAAAAAAAACATTTTCAAACGAGTGAGATAAAAAGGCACTTTAATAATGGATCAGAAGCACACGAGTCTGGAACCAAATATTGTGGTTGTTATTGTGATTTATTATAATTTAACGAGGTTCAATATAGTACGATGATAAAGAGACAAAGCCCAGCCGGCGCGGGCTGACGAGGAGGCACCGCTGACCCGTGACCCCTGACCGGCGTATGTGTGTGCTGTGCTGCCAGCGTCCCTGTTCCGCCGGGAGGTGACCGGTCGCCAGGGCTCGGAGGAGAGCACGGAGGACGGCGAGGGCTCTGACCGGAGCATTCGGAGGCAGTCGGTCTACCGCGCCATCCGATACAACCGGGGAGGGTGAGGCAGGGCGGTCCCAAAACACCATACAGCAGGGTAGGGGGCGAGGAAATCCGGTCCCAACATCCGATACAACAGGGGAGAGTGAGGCACGACGGTCCCAAAGGCAGGACGGTCCTTCAACATCCGATGAAACAGGAGGAAGTCCGGTTCCAACATCAGATAACTACAGGGGAGGGTGAGGCAGGGCAGTCCCCAACATCCGATACCACAGAGGAGGGTGAGGCAGGACGGTGTCCTAACATCCGATACAACAGGAGAGGGTGAGGCAGGACGGTCCCACCATCCGATACAACAAGGGAGGGTGAGGCAGGACGGTCCCAAAACACCATACAGCATGGGAGGGTAAGGCAGGACGGTCCCCAACATCTGACACATGTTACCGTAGGGGGAGGGGGGGGGGGGGGCATTGGTCCGTCCGGTACCTATCGGGATGGCACTGTTAACCTCCGGCGGAGTTCATATGCATTGTGTGGTTTTGAATATATTTGCTTAATACTAATTGGTTAATTATTTGCATCAATGTGATAATCAGCATCCAGTGATACCGGTGTCTTTCTGCGTGGTTTTACCAAGAACACCGGTTAGTGGGTGCTGTTTTCTCCCCAGTACGGTTAGTCTGAGCCTATACCGAGCCCGAAAGAGAATGGAGGACCAGCTGAGCCGCATCGGACTCGGCAGAAACCGGAGAAAGGAGGGACTGCATGAGGACGTACCAGGTACAGAACCAACCACCTGTAACGACTGATTTACTTACCGCTCCTCTATGACTGTATCGGTAATACTGACGACTCTCTACTTTGGCGAATTGATATAAACTATGAACAATGCTGTTTCGAATAATCGGGATGCATTTAACTTGCATTGCATAACGTAAATTCCGCCCACCATATCTAGTTATTAGCACGTTTTTATGAGATATATGTGAGCTGACGATCGTTCACTGTCCGCTCACCAGACCGGAGTCGGCACAACTCGTGGGACTTTGACGGCTATCCACAGAGTCTCGAGTACATGATCGTCAAGGAATGTCGACTGGTCAACACCACCGCTGTCCGGAACGGCATGAAAATGTAGGTGCAGTCGACCGGGAAAGTCTAGTGAAGTAATTCCTCAAACATTTTCATATTCAGCATATTCAATAACCGCAGAATGTTTGAAATGGACAATACTATTCGTTAGCATTGTGTTTTTCTATTGAATAATGAACTGCAGCAGTAATGACAGTGTTTTGAACATCCAGAACGTAGGCACAGCTGCGAAGAATATGTTCACGCACAGTCTATGTAACACTCGGACGCTGTGCGTTTGCAGACTGAACCTGCTGATGGAATCAGCCCCGCCGGGCAGTGTACCGGACGCACCTATGGTAGCCGCCGCCTTCTCCCTGGTAAGAACACCCGACCCCGCTCCGCCGCCGAACCGAGAAATAGGGGAGAGTGGGGCACATTCGTGCAAAAAAATGAATAAATCCATATATCTGTTCGTCGGTTAGTGCAATGGCAAAATTGTTGATTGTAGTATGGGAAGGAACTATTGCAGATATTTTTCCTCTTTAAAAGTTATCCTCTAAAGTTATCGCTTCCATTAGAAAAAAATGACTTTTAATAACTCTGAACGTTTGCACGAAACTGCCCCAGGTATGGGGCACACTCGTGCAAGGGGTGGGGCACTTCCGTGCACCCTGCAAAGTTCGAGGAATTACCGGGCATTGCAAGACATTTACCAAAAGAAATTGGCAGGGGGTCCTTTCACTTGATTCCTTTCGACAAGAATGCATTACACAACATATGTAGAAAGAATGGGCTGGCCAACAAGAATGTGCCAACTGCCGGCCATCGACCCGCCTCCGTGACCTCTTCAAGGTCACGTGAATTACTTGTCACGACGTCGCAAGCAGCCCAGACGTAGTCAGGCGAGCGTCACTACTACAGATAAAGTCATAAATCGCAAAAACGGAAAAAAATATGGAGGAATGTGCCCTAGGCAGTGCGTACACGAACCTGCCCCACGACGTTATTTGTAATATATTTCAAAATTTCTTATTGAAAAAATGACAGTTTTTCAACAAACAAGTTTGAAGCAGTTCCGGGAATAAAGTGAGCTTCTTCGCCCCCAATTTTGAAAAGTTAAACCACATTTCCGAGTCAGGATCACGAAAATGGATGATATGAGAAAAGTTTGGAAAGCGCACGAATATGACAAATTTGCGTTTTTATCAAGCATGACAGCAGGTACAGTGTTGTCTTTTACAGTGAACGAAGGGCGGCAATGATAGACGTATTTTCATAATTTACCTTTAGCTCGTGCAGTCACTCATCTTCCCATAAACTGCTAAAAACGAATGTGCCCCATGCACGAATGTGCCCCACTCTCCCCTACCACCGGAGCCTCCGCCACCGGCCCACAGTCGGGGAAGCAATTCCGGGCGGTAACCTCGTTAGCATTTTACTAGCCACAGAACGTGGCCTGACTATTACGTGCGCTCTCTGCCAATGGGCTGCAGCGGTGAAATGTGGCCCAATTCGCCGGCGACGCGCTCTGAATATCATTTGTGTTAATTTGCTGGGAAACACCAGCTGGCCGGCGACACGCCTATTGATCTACAGCCAACTGCGTGATCTTAGAAAGGCGAGATACATTTTCTAACGGATAGTGAAAGTTATTGTATTTTCCTCGATAAGTTTATACCATGTTTTACCACCGCCAACAGCCGGGAGTGCCGGTGGCCACCCGGGCCTGCTTCTACCTGGAGTGCGCCCACTTTGTGCACCGTTGTAACAAGGGCCTGTGGCCGGCCTGGATGAAGCTCAACCTGCCGCTGTTCAGAAGCTCCGGCCCACTACACAGCAAACCGGTGACGGGCGCCAAGCGGACGCACGTGCTGCAGCGGGCCGCCGGCAAACTGTTCTACCAGTGGGCCGAGGTGAGCGGAGACGATCGCGGAAAATATGCATGACATGTGCCGACTGGTAGAAGCTGGATATATCATTTCTATTCTCTTTATTTTTTTTCTATAGCTTGCCGTGCTTTATTATTTTAGGCCAAGTATATCGATGCATTAAAAGAGGAACTAGGCTGCAAAAGGTGACCATTCTCTCCCTTCATCAGTTTTCTTGCACGAAATTTTGCTTATTACGAGGTAGCACTGCATAAACTAGCGTTAATATGACGCCTCCTCGGTCCTAACTAGCAGGCATGCTCGCGCCGAGTCATGAGCCGGACATCAGCCCTCGCCCCCGTTCTCAGGCGCTGGGATCCCGGCTGGACACAGTGCTGAGCGACGGCCAGCGTCCGGGCGAGGGTGGTGGCTGCGGAGGGGATGGCCGGCGGCCGGCCGACAGCGCTCCCCTGGACGACGCGCGCAAACGGCAACTGCGGCTGGACGATGACGAGGAGGATTTCCTGGATGAAGGTGATGTAGAAACTGTCTAAAGAGATCGATTGATGTCGCCAACGCCAGCAGGCTTTAGCATCATAAAGGACCAGCGTGTGTTTGTGTGTCATGGCCGTGTGAGCGCCTTATCTTGTGTGGCAGCCTTTGCTGCATTTATTTCTATTTTAATCGTTATTACACTTGCAAATGGGATTAGGTACCCTGCTGATGATACAATAAACAAAGAATGAAATATACACGATCAATAGGATGATCTATAATGCTAAATATCTGGCTTAGCCTTGGTTATATTTATATTTGGTGTGTTATGTGTAGTTAGTATGAAATTAAAGAGGCTTTTTTGCCACCAATGGAAATAGATATGCGAATAACAGCCTTTTCACGATGTTTCGCCGTGAAGTTTAGCTACGCCCTAACGGTGCACAATTTTCCATCGACCGACAGCCAGCGTCAACCCCACCGGTCGCGAGTGTCCGATGGCGCTGCGGTTCGCCTGCTGCGTGCTCCTCTACGAGATCACTGCCTTCATGCGCGAGACGTACCCGCTGCTGCCGCGCACCTTCCAGCCACCGCAGCGCGAGCGGGCGCCCAGCATGCTGGGAGGTTCACTGGGCGTGCCGGCCGGCTCGCGCCGCTGGAGCACCGCGCTCAGCAGCATGGGCTACTCGCAGACGTCAGCGCAGAGCCTGCAGTCCATTAGCGGCGACCACGTGCCCATCAGCAGCGAGCGAAAAATCAGCTTCGTACTCCAGGAGCCGGACGACGTCAGCCTGTGCTCCAGTCAGAACACCATCATCCAGGAGGAGTGCTCCCGCACAGCGCGCATCGCCGCCGGCGCGCGCAGTCACCTGCTGAAGCGCAGCGGCGGCCAGGGGTTCTTCAACCCGAGCTCGAGCATCCGGCGGCGGTCCATCAAACTGCGCCGGGCCGGCAAGGAGCGCGACCCGGACGCCGAGTGTGAGTACCGCTGGAATCGCCGTCCGCATAGTTTGATGCTGATTGCTGTCCTCCAAATGGTACTTCATTGGAACCTTGAGTTTTTTTCTGAGACTTATTTTATTTCCATTGGGTCACTCCGCACCCCATGGACTAGTTTCTAGTAAACACAACACAAATCTCAATAATTACGGAGCGAGCGAAGCGAGCGGAGTCTTACGTAGAATAACGGAAATTTCTGAGTATGAGCGGCCGGCCGTGGTCACGCTTTTGCGAGGCTTATATCTCAGCAACCACTTGACCGATTTACATGCGGTAATTTTTGTGGGGTAGCTTCATTCCTTCTACCAAGTATTGGACTATTCCCGATGCATGTGGGTGACCCCTTATGCACGCGCCACGTGCAAAACGAAGAGGTGTCACTTTTGTAATTGTTGCAATATCTCGGTAACTACTTGGCCGATTGCGCTGAAAGTTGGCATGTAGGTAGGCACCCACTAGGCACTACATATCCATGTGCCAGAGTTGGGGTGCTGCTGCACGTGCGCACGTCGTTAGGCGGCACGGGCGGACATCGATAGCAGCGCCTCTATCGGTCACTAGGGAAAGCTGGGCTGTAGGCGACGAAATACCGGCTGAGTTGTCACACGTTGAATAGGTTTATAGCCATCAGTCTTGTGAAAAGGTTGAACTTTTGCCTTTAATATTTCTACAGGCAATTTTAGAAGTGTCTTCACATGGATTACAAAACCGTTTAGATTATTGTATTCACTTCAAGCCTTCCCTATTGTTCTTGATGATGCGGGAACTATTTCTAATTAGTGTTTCTAGCTTAGTAAAAGAACATACTGTGCAAACGATGAAAAAAGCATGAATGGAAGATTTTAAATGCAATTTTCTATAAAAATTAATGGTAAATTCTCTACATATCAAGGAAAATGTGCATGCTAAATGATAATTTAAAGTTCTTGGGGCCAGTTGTTTTCTTCTTTTCTTACGTCGCCCCAATGGCCGCGAATACACTTGTGATAACGCCTATCGTGCAGGGGTCGTTTCCAGATCTCGAGAACGGCTGGACCGATGGCGCTCAAATTTGGTACATGGTTAGGGACCGGTTAGTAGGGTGCCGTGCAAAAGTCAGTTGGGACCCATTTTGCACGTGCGCACGTGCAGGGTGCCGCTTCCAGATCTCGAGAACGGCTGGGCCGATTGTGCTCAAATTTGGCACATCGCTAGAGACCGGTTAGTAGGGTGCCGTGCACAAGTCAGCTGGAGGTACCCCCTCGAAATTTCGCACGTGCAAGGCTCACCCTCTCGCTCGCTCCGTTAGTCGCCCCAAAAGGCGCTATCATGGTTACTACATATTCAGGATAGCCTTTTTACGGAGCGAGCGAAGCGAGCGGAGTCTTTCCTTAGATTAACGGAAATTTCTGAGTATGAGCGGCCGGCCGACCGGCCGGCCGGCCGTGCGGACGCTTTTGCGAGGCTTATATCTCAGCAACCACTTGACCGATTTGCATGCGGTAATTTTTGTAGGGTAGCTTCATTTCTTCTACCAAGTATTGGACTATTCCCGAAGCATGTGGGTGACCCCTTATGCACGTGCCACGTGCAAAACGAAGAGGTGTCAGTTTTGTAATTGTTGCAATATCTCGGTAACTACTTGGCCGATTGCGCTGAAAGTTGGCATGTAGGTAGGCTCCCACTAGGCACTGCATATCCATGTGCCAGAGTTGGGGTGCTGCTGCACGTGCGCACGTGCAGGGGTCGTTTCCAGATCTCGAGAACGGCTCGACCGATTGCACTCAAATTTGGTACACAGTTAGGGACCGGTTAGTAGGGTGCCGTGCACAAGTCAGTTGGGACCCATTTTGCACGTGCGCACGTGCAGGGTGCCGCTTCCAGATCTCAAGAACGGCTGGGCCGATTGTGTTCAAATTTGGCACATCGCTAGACACCGATTAGTAGGGTGCCGTGCACACTGCACAAGTCGGTTGGAGGTACCCCCTCGCAATTTCGCACGTGCAAGGCCCACCCTCTCGCTCGCTCCGTTAGTCGCCCCAAAAGGCGTTATACTGGTTATTACTGCATTTGTTATTCCTCACGCCCAACAAAGGCTAACTCTCTGTAATTCGTCACAGCCATCAAACGGGCGGACAGCATCAAGTCGCGGCGCAAGGTGTCGGCCATCAGCGACTGCAGCGCCACGTCGGACCAGCACAGCGGCGAGGAGTCGCCCGGGATGCTCAGCGACGAGCACCTGGCCGACACGCCCAGCGACGCCGACACGGACGACTTCACGGTGCCCGAGCACCTGCCGTGGCTGCGCGTGGCCACCGAGATGGTGACCGGGCTCAGCTACAGCTGCCGCCACCAGCAGTTCTGCCAGCCCAACTGCTACAAACGCCTGATGCGGGCCTGCAACAGGCTCGTCAAGGCCGTGAAGACGGTGAGGATGGCTGGCGGCCGGCGCCACCGGCTACTTGTGGCCTGTCGTACCGTAATGTGATTTGCATAGTTGGCTGCTGAATGAGGGCGAGGGAGACGCTTCGCGGTGGACTCAGCCTTTACTAAATGACCCATTCTTGCGGGGAATATATAATGCGCTGAGGCAAAATTTTGTTCAACAATCCGACCGGATATTAACACGCCATACTTGCTTGCATTTATTGGACGTTATCGAATTCGTACACCGCCATGCTTAACATATTGTAAAATAAAGCCCACAAACGCGTGGACCTTCAGCAGTTCCACCGGCTGAGCTGACTTCTCAATGCTCATGCTGACTCCTATTCTCGACAGGTGTACGATGAGGACCTGAGCACCAGCCCGTCCACCGAACACTCCAAGGGCAGTTCTCGTCAGAGCAGCCACAAAGACCGCTCCCGGCTGAAACGCACCGACGCCAACTCCCAGGGCAGCCCCATCAAACGAAAGGAGAGCGTCGGAAGGCGCGAGCGAGACAGGTAAGTGTGATGTGCGTGCCTCAGTTCGCGCGATGTGACTTACCTACGGGTAACAGCCGGATACAGAAAAGTCTAAAACACATGTTTCTGCGCCTCCGAGCAGGGTGGACCGTGTGCCGGAGGGCGTGTCGGGTCGGCTGAACACGGGCAGTCTGCACTTCTCCCGCGAGACGCTCGACTCGGACGTGGAGCGCGGAGGAGCAGACACCAGCTCCCTCAGCGGACCGGACCGGCGCGCGCCCAAGGAGGAGCCGCCCATCGTCAAATACATCACCTCCCAGGTCAGCCAGGGCATCTCTCAGAGGGTTTCTGGTCAGCGAAGCACCTTTTTAGCTCAGAGTGAGATCCACTGCTGAACAAAGGAAGTACATATTAGGAATGTTTAAAAAGGCAAGAATGCAGAATAGCATGTCCGTTACGTTATCCAGCCTGTATGCATTTCCAGGTGCACACGCTGTTCCACATCCCGCTGAACCTGCTGGCCAAGAGCGCCGTGGTGCTGTCGGAGGACGTGCTGTTGCAGGTGCTGCCCGTCACCTGGGGCCTCCTGCTGGACACCGATCACGAGGTGAGAGAAACTCAACTCCGCTCTCTTCATCAGCTCAGCGTTCACATTGAACTGCCGTGGACACTGCTAAATCCGATACGCTCATCGAATACATTACCTAGACGCTACAGTGAGGGAAAATAAACACAAGCGCATTGCTCACGCTCAGGTATTCGGCAGGTTGCGAGTGCGGCGGCGACCCTGTGTATACTATCGGCGGTGAAGATACCGGGCTTCACCAGCGACATCCTGATGCGCCACCTGCAGCACGACGACCCCACGGAGCGGGTTAACGCCATCCTCAGGTAGGTCACGGGCGAGAACTGTGCACGGGGTATGTTGAGGGTGGAATAGGCTTGGTGAAACGTTGTACTCTCGAGATGTGGTAGAATGACGCAACATCCAGTAAATCCTCTTGGACGACTCTGACACCCCAACTGGCCACGCCTAGAGTTGCTCTGCGGCGGGTCCACCAGGATTGATTGATTACCCCCAATTACCCCCAGAACCCGGGCTCCACTGCAGCTGTCACAAATCTCCCTTTGTCCCAGGTTCCAGGCGCTGTGGCGGTTCCGCTACCAGTGCTGGCCGAGGATGGAGGACACGGCGCACCTCGGCTTCAAGGTCCCCCCGCCGGGCATAGAGTTCACCCTCCCCTCACCCAAGATCGGCATCGAGGCTCTGCCCGTGGTCGACCCCTCCTGGATGCCGCAGGTACGGCAGCCGCCGAAACGGAAAAACTTGGATTCCCATAGCCAAACGGGAGCGCCGTTCTATTTCCAATGGCCATTGGCGATGAGAGAGAAACTGATAAAGCCTCACGAGGAGCTCATTTGAGAGGAAATATACCTTTTGGCTTTTAACGACACTCCTTCGACCTAAAACATACCATTTCACGACCCAGGTAAAGAGACCCAGATAATGACCCAGGTGAAGTCGGGGACGCAACGCCTAACGTTTCGCATCGTCCTACAGGGGAAGAGTAAAGTCGAGGACGCGACGTTTAACATTTTACATCGTCCTACAGGTGAAGAGTAAAGTCGAGGACGTGACGCTGAAGGAGGAGCTGCACTCGATCGTGTCGGCCGGCAAGACGCGGCGGAAGCAGCAGGCCGAGCTGGTGCAGATCGCCCTGAAGAAGGAGGAGGAGAAGAAGCGACTCGACAGGGAGAACTACCGCATCAGCACGGTGCCCGTCACCGGGCAGGCGGCGCACGAGCCCAGCTTCTACCACGTGGCTGGGGACGAGCATGACGAGGGTGAGCGGATGCCCGGTGCGGGTCCGGAGCGCTATCTCGGTGTGCGGGCCGGCCGGCAAGCCCGCAGGGACAGCGCGGCCGGCCGCGCTCGGCTTGGTCGCTGGGGCTGTGCTCTGCAGGCCGCTGCGCGAGTTTCAGTTGCTCGTGATTGTCGATTGCACACCATATTACGATTTTCTTTCTGGATCTCACATTTTATTACAGGAATGTTACACGAAGCTGAACACAATAACATTTTTGTAATCCAGTTTGCCTATCAGTTTCATCGTTTCTTTTGTCAAGAAGCCTTCAAACTCCCAACAATCACAACACTTTAATTATTAAGGTAACTTTAGACACTTAGCACCAAACGAAATACCAGTGGTCCTTTTACCTTTTCACCTCATTATTTGGCCTGTGTCCTAACCCATCAAAATTTCATGACCCCTTTTTAAATTGTGCTGACATGTCATTCGCACATGAACAAAATACATCATCAGTTTGACATCTTACAAGTGTCCTTTGCTATTGTGTATAATTTGCAGAGCTCTGGATGATTTTGGCATCGGTCTGATTGTGCTTATCTCGCATATCGTGTTTGTATATACCAATCGCTAAAGCATTTAGCTGGATCGTATGGCTCATGGACATGGGAGAACTCCGGTTTTTGAGCATCTTCTATGGTCTGTTTCGTATACTAGAAAATGTGTGTGCATCTAAGATTTACAAACTTAAGCATCTTCTAAGCATGCTATAGACGGTGATTTTTGTAGCTATGGCGCGAGCCAAACTTTTTTGATCTAGTTGCATGCATTTGGCACGTCCGCTCGTCTGGTCATACTGACAATGCCTTCGCAGGGAATTTTGAGCTGCGATCATCGGCGCTAGGCAACCGGGCGTCGGAAGGAAACTTCGACCACATAATGAGGTTTTATCAGCATTGTTACCAGATCGGAGGTTAGAACAATAAATGCTCCCTTCTCCTATCAGCATCGGGGCTACCTTAAGTTTCCTAGAGCTTATCTATTGCCCTTGAGAAAAGTGACACATCCGCAATGAATGTAAAGTTGGTCATCTTTCTCAAATGCTCTTTAAAGCTGAACACTTTATATTTAATTGCAATGACTTCTGATGATTGTCAAATTTCTTTTTAAACGTCCAGCGCACGCTTCTGAATGCCTGCCTACACCATAAAGTATGTATGTCAGATTCATTTCATCCGAACATTCTGCCATAATGGGCGATGGGATGTCCTGTAGGATGATACATAAGCTGCACGTCAAGGTAGGAGACCATCCTGACTGAATTGAGTTCCCTCAACGCGCGAGCCATCAAATGGCGTAACATTTACTTGCCTCTTCGAACCTCTTTCGTTTCACCTTACCACATGCGATTCTATGCCCGTACCTTAGCCGTTGCCAGTTCTGAAGTTAATATGGAAATAAATGTCGTCTGTCGTGCTAATTGTCCTATATAGATGTTTGATTTCTTGTTTCCGAATATGCCCGTGACCTCTGATGTCAAGTACTATTCTTCAGTCATGTTTCACATTTTTCACCCCGGCTGATATTTATCTAATTAACCGCGTTTACCCTATCAGACACCCTTCTGGCCTCAGAGTGATCTCGTCATCCGTTTTGACCCGTGCCTGGACCGTCCCCATCCGATCCCGACACTCGTCTGCCCCCCGCGCCGCCGTGACCAATCGCCGTGCCCCCCTGTGCCTGTGACCGGTCGCTGTGCCCCCTGCACCACTGTGACCGATCGCCATGCGCCTCCAGCTGCCGACGAGGAGCCGACGGACGTGCTGCGCGGCTCGCACACGCAGTCGGCGCCGCAGATGTTCCCCTCGTGTCTGTGCACGGCCGCCACCAGCATCATCGCGCTGCTGGACGACACGGCCGTCACGCCCGACGGCATGGCCGTCTACTGCGTGGCGCAGCGGGTGCGTACTGAGGAAGGCACTGCGTGGCGCAACGGGTGTTTATATAGGGAGAGTGCTGAGTGGCGCAGCGGGTACGTATAGAGGGGGGACACTGCGTGGCGCAGCGGGTGCGTACTGAGGAAGGGCACTGCCTGGCGCAACGGGTGCGTATAAAACGCACTGCGTGCAGACGCCTGCCGTGTACGCTGCATCAAAAAGTGGCCGATATGGTATTGAGCAGCTAGCCCTTCATTTTTTTTTTCATTGCTAGGCACATTTATCTAACAAGTCTGTTGTAGATTTTGACAATTTGGTTATGACGGATTAACCAATTTCATCTGACTCACAGGGGCATGGCCGCATGGGCCTATACGACCGGCATGGTTTTGGATGCTGACCCCGGTATCCTCCGTCCGCAGGTGATCTGGAAGTGTCTGGTGGAGGACAGCGCGCTGTTCCTGCGCCACTTCCTGGAGAAGCTGACCCGCGAGCGGCAGGAGGTGATGCTCCAGTACCTGAGACGGCTCATCCACACTTTCCCGATGCTGCCCGCGCAGACGGCGTTCGCCCTCTACAACTACCTGGTCGGCTACATCATGTTCCAGATCCGCTCCAACTCCGAGTTCGCCACACAGAACATCGCCAACTCACTCACGCTGTTATGGCAGGTGTGTGCAGAAACGCGCGGGGCACGCGGACGCCTCAAACCATCATCGCTAAATGTGTGAGCCGTGGTGGATGTTAGTGTATCGCATAAATGAGAAAGCTAATCTGGGTCAACAATTTTCTGCAATCGATTTGATGTGTGATATCCTATGTCATTCGCGTCAATTCAGTCTGGGTCTAGCAAGGCACGTGGACTACCCCAGGTTTTGTTTCGTACACAGGTTGTCCCCGGTATCCAGGGAATATTGTTCAAGGACTTGAAGCAAATCTTCCGGAAGGAGCAGTGCGACGCCACGCTAATGTTGACGGCCAACGTCCCGTCCGCCAAGCGAATCATCGTACATGGACCTCAAGGTGAGGAAGCATCTCTACCGCTGAAGTGAAATGTATGTTTAATTGTTTGTGAAATTACGAGCTTTCTCGTACGTCCGCTTCACCTTAGAAGCATGGTTTGAGCACGATAAACGATGACCTTTCATCGAGGCTTCATTGGCATTGACTAGGTTGAATTTTCTTTCTGTCCGGCAGGTCCGGACGCCGGCGGCATTCCGTCCCAGTTTCCGATCCAGGAAGACACCCAGTTCTGTCAGATTCTGACTGAAGCACGAGAATTCTTCAGCATTCCCGAGCACGAACACAGGTCCTACTTTCTGGTGGACCATAAGACAGGTAATATATGCAATGAAGGACGTTCGGCCGGTAGCCCCTTCCGAAATCGAGGAAAACTGTGACCATTTCATCGAGTTTTTCATTACAGATGACCTCAAGGAAAATGTTAAAACAAGAAAAGCATCATCGAATAATGGTCTAATATTTATTTCAGGCGTGATTCACAACCCGAAGGCGTACGTGCGAGATTTCTACTTCTTCAAGCGGTCGCAGTACCCGCAGCTGAGCTTGATCCACATCGATCCAGAGGAGGCCTACAACGCCATGCAGAACAACGTCTTCTACCTGAAACTGCTGGAGATCGGCAAAACGCTGAAGAGCCTGGCGATGCTGATGAGACCGGATCAGGTCAGGATACAAGTCTACACATCTCGTTAGAACTAGAACTGCCAAGTGTCATGTCTCAAGTAAGGTAGCATGATCATGTAATCTTTGAACTGTTGCACATCCAGTGAAGATGGCATAGAGACAAAGTTATTCGTTTCGTTTCAGGTGGCTCAGCGAGTGTTCTTCCTCCATGAGGAGCTCACCAAGCTACCAGCGTTTCCTCGCAAGGCTCTGGAGACGGACTTCCACTTGTACAAAGGAGGACACCTGGGAAACGTATGCTTGCCGATTACCCTCAGCCTATGTCATTAATCGTATGAAGAAATAGTATGCAATCCTGACTACACATGTCATTAATCTGTGAACTGTTGGTCGTTAGGTGCATGAACTTCAACTCAATGTGTACAAATTACAGTTATTTACGAAGTTTTATTGGCAAATCGCCACTGTACTGATCAGTTATTACTCGTAGCACGGACACTATTGACATATACCTACTAGCATGTCACAAGACACATATCACATTGGATTGTCACCGCCCCACAGGAGCTCAAGTGTCTGGACAGCATGCACAAGCTGATCTGGGTGAAGATGATGTCGCGGATGTTCGAGGGCATGGCGGGCAACTTTGCCTACTCGGGCGATATCCACCTGTTCATAAACGTGGTGAACGGGTGCCTGCTGCTGCACTGCGAGGACAGCGCCATGCTGCGGCTGGTGATGGCCACCTACATCAGCGCCGCGCACCAGTTCAAGAACGTCTTCTCCAGTAACGGGTGGGTCGGTACAGAGGGAGTCAGTCGTGGAATGTTTCGATATCTGCTACATGATCGTGGAATGACCCGAAATTTCACGGGAAAACTGGGCGTCTACATGTTTACAGATGATGGACCCAAAGTCGCTTTACTCATGCCGATTTACTTCCCTTATTGGATAATTTTTGATACACAGCTCTGAGCTCATGCGAGGAACATTTAGGCGTTCTCCATAAGCACAACACAACGACTGACATCGTTCCCGTTGACCGTTTGTCCTCAGGTACCTGCTGATCATGCCGACGGTGCTGCAGGTGTACAGTAACCACCAGTCCAACTCGCTGCTCTGTCGTACCGTAGAGTTCATCTGCAAACAGTTCTACGTGCTCCACCGCAAGCCGTTCGTGCTGCAGATGCTCGGCAGCATCGCACCCATGCTCGACCTCAACACAGACCTGCCGTTCGCAGACGCCAACAAGGTAAGGCCGCTCAAACGCTGTGCCGATGTTTTTCAACGTTGACGTTGTACTTACTTGTACTTCATCAAATCTCAATGACGTATCTAGAAGGGAAAAATTTGTTTGTAAATTAATGAGGATTGCCAGTTGCTGTAAAGGTATGCTATGACAGAATACATATACTGCATTTTGTACATCTATGATTTGATTCTATATTTTCTAATATCATGTGAACAGAGCAGTCACACTGACACGCTACTATCGCGATGTCCAGATTCAGCCGGACACGCTGTTCAGGCTGCTCATCTCTCTGGAGACGCCGTCTCCGGACCCGCTCAACTGCATCGAGCTCGTCTCTGTCGAGAAGCCGCTGCGCGCGCTCGACTTCTGCTACCACGAGGAGACGGACGACGTCACCATCATGGACGTCATCAGCCTGTGCGTCACCGTGGTGGCGTACGCGGCCGACAGCCGGCGAGCCCACCAGATGCTGAACGTGCTGGAGGCGGTGATTCCCTTCTACCTGCGGCACGTGGAGCGCATCTCCAGCGTGGCCACCACGGCGGGCCCGAAGGCAGAGCTCAAGGGCGAGAAGGAGGTCATCCACCAGCTGGCACTCTCCATTAAAACGCTGCTGCACAACTGCGAGCCGCTGGCCAAGTAAGACGTGAAGGCGTTGGGGATTTTGTAAATGCAAGCTGCTCAGTCCTCACTGGATATCTTTCTCTGGAATAACGTATTCTTTGTTATTATGAATCTTTGGCAGTCAATCTCATTGTCCTGGGTCGCCGGGAAAGCGACTGATAATGTCTTCCCATTCACAGAAACTACACCGGTCCGACGCGGGGCAGTACAGAGTTCAAGACGTCCAGTATGAAGACGTTCACCCGGACAGCGGCGCAGGAGACTCACAACGCCGCGCTGGACCTGGACGAGGACTCGCACTCGCGCATGTTCGTCAGCGACACGAGGAGGACCAACTTCATGGAGCGCGACATGGAGGACTCGGAGGTAACACACGCACGTCTCTCGGCTGAGCAGCGCGCGCAGCTTGCGCCTTTCGATAGTGCATTAGGCACACACTTGATGAAAATGTAAACATAAATAAGCAATGATCAGTGTAGCCAAAAAGTTTCCAGCTCACTAAATGTGAAAAAGCTAACGTTCACGAATGTTGTTTTTCTCTTAAAACTATTTGAGCCAGCTCAGCGTGGTTCGCAGGTTCTCCGTGAGGCGTTCCGCCGTCCCCGGGACACGCTGCTGAACATTGTCGCCGAGTTCCTCTCGCGCTGCTCAGCCCGGCTGCACGAGCTCAACAAGAAGCCCGGAGCCGGTGTGGAGACCAAGCAGGTCGAGCTGTTGGATGCCAAGTGCCACAGCGTAAGTACTACAGTCCACATAGGTACTACAGAGCTCCTGGCGGCCCGAGATTGAGCCGGATAGACTGGAGAAATACGGCCGAGTGCAGGATGGCGACGGCGACTGGCTGGGTAGGCTGTGCCGCGGGACGCCAGTGCACTGCGGAACAGCATCCACTCCGGCGGCCCCGACGGCCCGGCCAGTCCCGCGTGGCTCCGCAGACTAGAAATGAAAGCTGGTGCAAATGAATAGCAAATAATAGCAATGGATGAAAAATCCATTAGCAATCATCCCTGTCTTCGTGCGCTTAGTGGACATATTCAAAACGCTATTCCGAACACGTAAAAAATCGGAACTCAATTACGATATGCCGTTTAATTTCCACGAAATTAGTCATGCATGCTGAATTTATAACCATTCCAATTACATGCAGATAATCTCTATACCTATTCAGACATCAGGCAACTAACATGATTGCATTCATTTTCAGCATCATATGCAGTTTCAGCCTCTACCACTTCTGTCTGTTTCTGACGTCGCGCGTGTGTTTCTGTCGCCGCAGCGTCTGGCCGAGATCGCCCACAGCCTGCTGAAGGTGGCGCCGTACGACCCGGAGACCATGTCCTGTCGCGGCCTGGTCAAGTACATGAACCAGATCCTCACCTACCCAGACTGGTCTCAAGAGGCTCTCAAACCCACACTCATCATCATCATGCGACGGCTCGAGAAAGTCTTCACCAAAATACTCAAGAAGAGCTTCATCAGGGTAGGTGCTTTGAGTTCCATCATCACATAATTGACATGTGTATTGTGTTACGCAAAAGATCAAACTCCGTATCTGTACTGTTATGAACGGATTCCTACCGTAGCAATAATAAACCCTGAATGTAGCTGAGTCAATCTGTAACAGAAGTGAGCTTCACCAGCTACAGCCGACGTGAATGCACCCCGTCACATGTGACAGATGCATCCCTCGCCTCTCTTTTGTTCACAGCGTCACACGGACTGGGTGGCGGCCGCCAACCTGCTGAAGGGCGTCTACACGACGCTCTGCAAGTACCCGTACATCGCCCACCTGCCGCCGCTCAAGGCGCTCATCCTCGTCTGTCAGGCGCTGGTGGTAGGCGAGAGCGGGGTCACCACCGCGGGCGAGGGCGCCGCCGCGGACTCGGCCGCCGCCGTCCACTATCCGCCGCCGCAGCACTTCGCTTCTACCGTGGTCCGGCTCATTGCCATGCAGATGCTGGCCCAGGGGGTGAGTGGAAGGGGAGACAGCGGAAGGTGATGGGGAAGAAAAGGCGAGGGATGGGCGCTCAGCTGCGGAGCTGGCCGGGTTCTTGGTGTGCCACTCAGCTTGCGGAGAGTTCTTATCTGCACACAAGAGTTCATTTTTGCATTGTCAACTTTCCATCAACAGCCAAAGGTTTCGCCACATAAATGCAGAGCACATAATGGTCATGTCCGGTCAGGCTGGCTGTCTGCAGAGCAGGGGTTCGGCCGGCGCCGCAGCGGTACGCCCGCACCTGTCGCCTGTCCCCATGCCTGGTGTAAAGAGAGGGACGCGGGCCAGTCTCGCGGCACTGTTTGCCTTGGATGGTGTTTTGGTCACCCGGTTGAAGCTTTGAAGCCGCAATGTCAGTTTGAAGTTGGCGTAACGTGTCTAGTTGTCTGGCTTGGTTGGCATATAGCCTCGTTGCTGGTGCGCCCTAAAACACCAAATCATCATCATCATGGCTTGGTTGGCAATTTTCGGCTCTGCTTGTAACGCTACGTTGACGGGAGGATCTGCTGCTTTGTAAGCTGCTGGCCGCGGCTGCTTCTACTCAGCCCCTGAAGTCTAACAAACGCTAACATAACTGGTCTGGTGTTTCAGATGTTTGAGCACATATCATTGGTGAGACGATTAAACTAGCATTGAAATGACAACTCGAAAAAATGCACATTAGATGATAGAACATAGACTAACCCAAAGCATGTCCTGCCAAGATTTGATGTCTAAACATGATCGTGTCTAGACATGGCACACTTTACATCAAAACATGCAGATTACAGAAAAATCAGGTACCGCATATCTATTAGCTGTACCAGTTACCCGCAATCTTCTCGGTGTTTATATTTCTACAACATTGTCTGATTTTCATGGCTGGACATGTATGGGTCTAAACAAATCTCCGATGAATACTGAATAATCTTTATAAGTCTGAAATCCTCGCATAACTAATGAAACACATGCATTGAAATGACGGCATTCTTCAGCGTCACAGTTCGTTAGCGTTCTTCCTGCTTCTTCCCGGAAGGTGTACCTCGTGCTGTACTGGGCGCCCGCGTGGGAGCTGCCCCGTCTCCCCGGCCCGCTAGAGCATGCGTGGTGACCTGTTGTCGGTAGTTGGTGCTTGTGTCTGCCGCCACGGTATAAAGTATGCGCGCGGAGCGCTGCCACAGGTCCTCGCATCCACATAGACGCCAGAATTAGTGCATTTTAGCACCTGATAGTGCAAACTAGTGATAGTGCATCTGGGAAATATTTAGAAAATCTTGCAGCGTCACTGCAGTGTTGCAGCAACATCAAATTACGAAACTCGCCTGCCCACTTCATTGCACTTCTCCATACCCCACTGATACCCACTCATGAAGATCTAGTTACAAAAGCTCCACAAGTTATGTACACTGAGACAATGAGACAACACGGTCAAATATTTTAATTGCTTTTAAGCCAACAACAGTTTGTTAAAACCACAAAAAAACAACAGTGTTCGATTGCCAAAGTTTCTTAATTGCACATTCTTATTCGCCTTCTCGTTTGGTTCATTCAGCTGCAGTTTCTTTTCAATATCTTCTCCAGCAAATTGCTGAGAATAGAAACGTATTGGCTTTCGTACTTCTGAAATGGCAATCCACATGAAAAAAATAGTATGCTCTTCTCAGCTTTATATTGCCAACAACGAGACAAAAAAAGAAAACCTGTATGACTATCGCGCCAACATGCATGAATAACAAACGCTACGATCACATGTGACTGAGGAATCCCAGCAGCAGCGTCCGACGCGTTTAGAGCGACTAGTGACCTATCGTGACTGGCGCGCCCGTGCCCGTCGCCGCAGGAGGCCCACTCGCTGGAACAGGTGTGCGGCGGCAGCTCCGTCTTCCCCAGCGCCGAGAAGACCGAGAACATGCTGATGAACCTGCTACTACCGCTCTGTCTCCGCGTCGGCTGCGGACGCACTGGTGAGAAACTCCCAATGAAGGAACCCGATCCTCGTATAGCTCGATCGTACCTCCCTTACACAATGTCAAGAACGCAAAAACACCGAATTAACTTCCAAACTTAACTGCCATCTGCTCTAACCGCAGGTGAAAGATATACTCGGCAGACGTGAAAGCAACAACACCGAATTAACTTCTAAACTTGACTGCGAGTGCGGCCTCCACTAACCGCAATACTCTCGGCAGACGTGCCCAAGATGCGCCAGGCGGACATCAGTTTCGCACTGACGGTGATGCTGCACGCGCTACAACCGCCCGCGTCCACCAAGGTAGCCGCCGCGGGAGCGGGCGGCGGCGCCGGCGCCGGCAGTGTCGCCAACAAGACCGAAGCCGGCCTTTTCTCCACGAGCGAGACACGCGGCCACAGCACCGTCCGACCGTCCATCTACTCCGTGGCATTCCTCGGTATGTCACCGTACCAAAACTGAACTCAATCTCAATCCGCACTAAGCTATGCTTAGTGCGGACTCTGATTCCTTAAATCCGCCCATTCAGCCATTCGGACTAAATTTATTTAAAAAAAAAACTTCTTCTCCGCAATCAGCCTCTCCTTAGTGTATCATTCCTCTGTGCTCAGTTAGTTTCTCAAAAGAACCATACGTGGGCTGCAATGAAAGCATAGTTCTGTTCCAACAGGTCTGAAGATACTTCTGATATGTTTTGAGAAGAATCTGGCCATGGACTGGCACCGGGTGGCCCGCACGGTTCAGGAGCTCGGCCAGCAGGGCTGCGGCGGCCTGGCGCTCTGGGACTTCCTGGACTTTGTCGTCACCTACCCGACACCCGTGTTCGTTCTCCTGCTGCCCTTCATCGAGCAACACGTGAGAGAATATCTCTAATACTAATTTAAACGGGCAATGTGGAGTAATACAATGGATCAGCTATTACAGATTGGTTCATCATCGCGGCAGTACAGACGACAGTAAAACCGCGGGTTGATTTGCGTCCTTTCCTTTGCCAGTTGGAGTCGCCGACATACGACTTCGCTGACGAGGTGCACTTCAAGCAGCTGATCAGGGAAAAGCTGGCCGGGAACCAGGAGGAGATGCCCAGGATCAAGTCGAAGGGCTCGGTGCTGATGGAACTCGCACACGAGATGAAGCTGGTCAAAGAGGAGATCGCCAACTCAAAAACAGGTTAGCTGACCGTGCGAATCGTCTGTTCTTGGATATCAAGACAAAGGAATCTTTTGCAAATGTGGATGCAATTTCGCCCAGGATGGTTGTCCCTGATAAATATGATTTAGCGAGCGCTTCTTTTCTGACCGATGGCTGCGTTGCAGGGGATTTCGACCACCGGAAGTCGGTGGTTGTCGACCTCCATAGCGACTTCCGTTCTCGCCTGTGGACAGGATCCGTGTCGGAGGGACCCAAATCATCCAAAGGTATGACCTTGCCACTGTAATATAGATCCATACAATTCAAAGGTAGCGGATAAATGGGAATAACCTTGAGGACACGCAACTAGATGTTTGACATCAAACTAAAATCAACACCACTTTTCCTATTCTTCTGCTCAGATGTTGCACGACAAGCCACTAACCAGGCCTATCAGTCTACCATTCATAGTCATACGGGTGAATCATCGATTGTCTTGCTATTGCACTGCCACTAACCCAGCTTCCATAACCCACTAACCCCGGCTGTGACGGACCGGAGCGACGCCCTGCACGGTGCCGACCTCCCCATGACCCGGGTCCGTTCGCGGCAGTCTCGAGCCAGCGCTCCCTGCACCGCGACGCCAGTGTCAAGAGCGAGAACTGGCCCCAGCCGGCCGGCCAGCGCACCATGCGCGTGTACTCGATGCGCTCTCGGGGCGCCGTGGAGCGCTTCCTGCGGCGGACCAGCTACGCCGGCTCCGAGGACCGGGCAGGTGGGGTTCGACGGGCTGAGCAGCGGCAGGTGGGGTCCAGGGAAGTGGGGGAGGGGGAGGCAAAATGGAGTTTGGCGGGCTGCACACAAAGGCGGTGGGATCCGGTGGGCCGCCCGCCTGGGAAGACTGGGAACCGGAACAGTGCCGAAGCAGGAGGAACCGGAGGACACTGCATACCAGAGACTAAAGGGGATGGTTTCCGAGACCACAGACCGGTGGGGAAGCACCCGCACAGCACGTTGGACCTCTGAACAGATCACAAACCTACACACGACAGACATCAATAGGAGAATAAATCATCATGATGAGCATTGGTTCACGAATTAAGTATTAAATTTCATGAACCCACAATCACAGGCTTTGTGAAATTTCACGCAAATGCGATCAAGCTCACAAATTATTCAGCTGTTGCATGTCATGGGTATAAATAACCACGGGAGCAACGCTGTAACTGGTGGGTCAACTGGTTAGTGGGTAACAGTGGAAGTGAACAGCGTGGGTAACGAAGTGTGGGCGTTCGGTAGGGACACACATCGGTAAAATGCATGCCGTAGTTGATGGTCGGTGTTCACCTAAACTCAAGCTCTATCCAAGGCATTCTATTAACTAGATCTCTCCACTTTCTCTTCACTAGAAACACTGCCTTCGGTGTTGGCATCACATTAAGATGAGTTTTGGCAGTGCTTTTTGATTGTCAATGTTCACACTCTAACAACTATTAACTAGAAATGGAAACGCAAGGTGGTGTGGAGTCGGGATACTAATGCACTTAGGTAGCCTACCGCACATAAACTGTCACTCGTATTCGTATGGACTTCCCGTCCCGCTCTCACAGTTTTCAGTGCTGTGTTGACGTTGACACATACGGTGTCGTTTAGTTCACGAATGCCAGTTCGCCGCAATCTGATCCCACGGATTGGCAGTCTGAGAATGTTTGTGGTGTTGATGTCCCCAAAGCTAAAATAACCTACAAATAAACTCAGTGATTTGCCACCACTAGAAGTACCAAATAAACCAGAAGCGACCGGCTTAAATGACAAAAAGTACTCCCCCATTCACTGGCCCTGTAAAATCATATCTGGTTACCAATGTCCCGGACATTGTCAACCAAAAGGCCACCGTCCGAGCCAGTGTGCTCCCCGTGCTGGCGCCGGTCGTTTCTGTGGCTGTTCCCGGTGTCTGTCGGGACCCCGGCAGCACGCCTCGGGTCCGGACCCCGCCTGGGGGCAGACTCCGACCAGCGCATGACCCACGCTCTCTCTGTCTGTCTCTGTTCTGCGTCTGCGCTGTCCGCTGTCACTGTCACTACTGGTTGGCTGGCTGGCTGTGGCTGCCCGTTACCGCTGTCGCTCGCCGCCCGCCCGTAGGCGTCAGCGACTCGCGAGCCGCCACCTCCGAGCCACGCCTCTACAGAAAGTCGTTGTTTGTAATGCGGAAGCGCGGCTCCCGGCCCAACGCAGGCGACTCGGACACCACGCCAGGTTTGTCCACCGAGGCAGTCTCACACCAGCCAGGTTTGTCCGCCGAACGGTTCTTCAGAGGCCGTCGGCGCTTCGAGCGAACGATGGATGTTTCTCGACGCAGGATCGGAGAGACTTCAGCTAGAAAGACGCAAGGTAGCCGATATATCAACTAAAGGTTCTTGGGGAATGCCTACACGCTTGAGAGGTTAAATAAAGTCACCAGTTATCCAGGAAGTTTAAATAAAACGCCGAGCAATTAAAAGCTATAAGTTGCAAAGATAATCGACTAACTAGCCCAGCTTCTGCTATATTCAAAATCGGCAGCAACTATCATCACATGTCAATCATGACCTAGGAAATGCCGCCTCACATAAACTATTGCCAATGCAAATCAGGGGTGCCGACTCCCACTCACGACCGTTGCAGGTGACTCTGCGACTGACCTCGACCAGGCGCTGAGCAAGGGCTCCACGGAGGAGGGGTCGACCGCCCGCCCGCACCGACACCGGCTGCAGCGCCAGAAGGCGCAGAGCAGGAAGACGTTCCGCTTCAGGAAGAGCCGCAGGGGAAACAACTTCGAGGTGAGGACAGACTACCGATGCCTTGTGCAATTTTTCAATCGCTGACTAATTCTCACGCCAATAAGACCCAATTCTTCATTCTTCAATTTCATTTTGCTAGCAAAATACGAAACACTAAGACCCGATTCTCTAATACCCTGCTCTCGATGCGACCCCTATCTGACCGCGTCTGCTGGTCCCGGCCGCCAGATGAGCGCACTGGACGACCAGAAAAGCGCCGGCGACGAGGACCCCGAGGTCGGGCCCGAGCAGATTGCCGCGCAAGACGACGACGACGACGCGCCCTGCGAGATCCCCGAGACCATCGACGAGGTGTCGCTGCCGATGTCTCCCCGTCCCCGTCCGCGGCCGCCGCTGTCGGAGTCGGCGGCGCCGGCGGTGGCCGAGCAGCCGCCGATCCTGAGCGACATCAGTCCGACCAGCAGCAGCGCCGCCTACCGCGAGAGCCTGTGGCTGGACGAGGCCGACCTGTGCCAGCTGCAGACGCTGCGCGAGTCGACGCCGAGCCAGGGCAGCCCGGGCACCACGGCGGCGGAGGTGAGCAGTCTGCCGGGCGACCTGTCTCCGGCCAGCGGCTCGCTCTGCTCGGACCACACCGAGCACACGGCGCTGCTCAAACCGGCCGCCGTCACCGCCACCGCCGTCACTGTCTCCGGCGGCTCGGCCACCTCACTGGAGCAGCCCACCAGCGACCAGAACACGCTGATCTGAGCGGCCGGCCAACCAGCGACCAGAACACACTGATCTGAGCGGGCGATAGCGACCACACGCCCTCAGCTGAGCGGGCAATCAGAACACTCAATCTGAGAGGCTGACCAGCGACTGAATTAATTGGTTTGAGCGGCCAACTAACTAGAGGCCAAACATCGATCTCATGAGTCGATCAGAGAACAAGACACCCTGGTCTGAGCGGCCGACCAGAGACAAAACTCCAAACTCATGGGCCGACCAGGAAACAAAACACTGATCTTACGGCCGACAAGGGAATAGGACATGCTGGTCACAGCAGGGCGACTTAGGTCATAGACCATTCACGTTTGACCACTGAACATCCACATCTTAAAACTCAACCTTGACCAGACGTCGCCCTAGGGCTGTCAGAACGACCAACATTTTCACAATAGGAGGGGACTAAGAGGTTGTCATAACGGTGGTTAATGACTTGGGAGACTAGCGAGTTCAGGTACCTATGTCTGTGGAAAGTGTGAGTTTGGTGCTGTTCAATGGATCGTCGCACGGTACGGCGGTCCCGGGGCCATAGAGTGATAGACTATCCGGCCAGTGTTGCTGTCGAGGCCGGCTCTATCGCCTGGTCAAAGGTGTCTGTCACGGATGGGCACACGTCCCCAGCACGCCGAGAAGGTGCTCCAGCCAGCCGGATATACCCGGGATACGGGAGTACTGTGCTGAGTTTGTTGGGCGCCATCGCGCCGCTCGGTGTTGGTTCTCAGTGTGCGAGCACAAACATTTATGACTGATGTTGAACAATGCTGGAGTTTAGTGAGATATCTATGTTAGTGAAGTCGTGAACGTGTCTACTGTCCAGTTGTGTCGGAAATGAGCAGCTATGTTCAGCGAAATGCGCTTATTTTATTTAGCTGAAGTATATGCTGAGCTGTTATCGTTGTTGGGCGTTAGCGGTGAGTGAAAATGAATGTGCCAGTCAATGTAGCTGAAGCAATGTTTATAAGCATACATCATGCGATGTGCTCTCGTTGTCAGGCCAAATATCGTGCGATGAACATGATACGCCATCGCGGTTTTTGGGAGGAGAGATTATCGTCCCGAATGAACTGCCCGTAGCACCTATGAGAAAAGTGACAAAAGACTTAAATTATTGTAATGATATAAGGAACACAAACATTGCGGCAAATGGTGTTCCTATCTCTGCTCGGAATTATCCTGGATTTTGTCTGTACTATCCCATGGTAACTGTCGGCTCTGCATGTATACTGTATTACTGTGTGGCCATTCTGCCGCGCAGATGTATACACGAAAGTCTTGAGTGCCAAAATGAGAACAAAAACAAGCGTTCTCACCATATCTAACGAGCTACAAAAATTAAAAAATGTATGCATCGTTTGGAGACAGAAAATGGTCGTTGAGAATAAAACTTGAATGAAATGATATGCGTATTGTCAATAAAATAGTCATAAAAACGACGACACCCGTTCTGCGATACAAAAAAATATGTCAGCTTCTCTAATTACCTTTACATCATGCGCCAGGCAAATAACAGGCATTAAAAGCAATATCAGTATTTTCCATTACCTCGAAATAAAACTTCCGATACAACAATGTTTAATGAAAAAGGAATGACCGGGAATAAAATTAACCACGCACCCGCCAGTTGATACCTGACCAGTCTAGCTTGAATAAATATCGGGCTTGGAGTGTTTTGATCAATGAATACGTAGTGACTTTTTGCTGCCCACTGCCCAGTGACCTCAGTTCGTTTGAACACACTGCAATGGACGAGTCATCAGAATTGTATTTGCACACGTCACAAGGTATCAGGCAGTAATCCTCGCCGTTAACAACGGACCACGTCGCTGGCAGCAAACCGGCACGTATAAAACATACCGCGCATGATACTATGTCAACTACAGTGTGTTCTGTTACTACTACCCCAATGAACAACCCGCTATCGCCTAAAAGTCAGCTACCTTCATCGTACACGGACAAGGGCATTCACCATTCCTTGTGACAAACACCTAATTCCATCGTGCCATAAGTTCATTATGCTGGCAACATGGGCATAACACTCCTCATATGCCATAAAATGAAACCCCATTATTTACGAACGGAAAAATAGCGGAGGTAAAATTACAGATGCTGAGAAAGAATGTCCCGTCACAAACAACCAACAACATGCCATCAATCAGTACTTTCCGTTTCTTTAGACCTGTTCTTCTTCCGCTTCTTCTTTTTCTTGCTGGGCGCCTCAGAGGTCCCGTCAGAAGGTGCCTGCTCGCTGGCGGCTGCAGCTGGCGGCGTGCCCTCCGCCGGCGGAGCAGCTGCAGAGGATAGTTCATCACTTTGATCCGCAGCAGACTGTGCACGTTCCGCGGGATCAGCATCAATGTTCTTCCGCTTTTTCTTTTTCTTCTTAGGCGCTTCTGTGGTCTCATCTGTGGTCTGTTCGATACCACCACCTGCTGGGGAGTCTTCCTCCGATGGTGCGGCTGCGGAGGACATTTCGGGACTCTGATCCGCGGTAGACTCTGCACTCTCCTCGGCATTAACGTCGGCGTTCTTCCGCTTCTTCTTTTTCTTGCGCTCTTCAGTAGCGGTACCAGTTTCTTCCTGAGTTGGCTCAACAGTTTCTTCGACATTCGAAGCATGTTTCCTCTTTTTCTTCCTTGGCTCCTCGGAAACATTTTCTTCCTCGGGCATCGGCGACGCTTCCTCAGTAGACGAGGCAGGTCTCTTCTTCTTTTTCTTCTTAGACTTCGTTGCTTCTTTCTCCACACTCTCATGAGTTTCTTTGGGCTCAATACTAGGCTCTTCCGCCGTCTCTTTTACAGAGTTTTCATCGAACACGTTCCAACTCGTTTGTTCTTGTTCATGTTTCGCTTTCAACATCTTCATTTTCATCATTTTTGCGGCAAGGTAATCCTGGAAATTTCAAAAAGTTCTGAGACTAAATAAACTGGCAACGAATATACACTTCTGAATATTACATCAAGTGACAAGTCGTTTTTGCTGTGTTTATGTAACTGAGCCCTTATGCGCATTTAAGCGAATCATTTTATGATCAGCTGATGTCCTACAATACATTTCTAAAAGAATTTCAGAACAAAACTCATGGCTCCGGAGATGTACGCACAGTGACTACTTTAGACCACGAGTTCTATGCGCTCTCTCTTATCGTCTGGGTAAGCTCAATACATCTGGCGCTCTAATCTCGGTTACGAGCTTAAAGTCGCAATAGCAAAACAGATCATGTTAACAGCGAAAAGTGAGGTCGAGTGAGAATCCCAATCGCCTTGCATAGAGTTTAACGAGCAATAGGTATGGAAAGAGGGATCGTCTTTGCGCTGTACGGCCACTGCTGTCTATGATGGTTTCCGCAATAGCACGCTAGGTGGCTAGATGTAAGCTCGCCTATGAGTGGCAGGGCCATGCTGGAATGAGATTACCGCCTGCTAGTAGCCTCAAAGACTCATACGACAGACCAACACCCTGCAGATGCGAGCTGTTGGTGACACCGGAATGCCAAGGCCCACATGTGTCGGCTCATGTTAGTGTAGTTCATGCGAGGTTCAGTGTGGGGCGGCCTTAAAAACGAGCAGACGGACCTCGTTGCACATACTGCACAGTGGCGATGGGGACCAGCACTCCTGCAGCTCGATAATTTTGCACAGGAATTCTAGCATGCAGGACGACGGCAGCAAGGACCACCTAAGCCCTAACAGAGAGCCTGACAACAACAAACATAGCCACGAGACCGCAGTATGTCGGACTGACCTTGACGGAGAGTCCGGTGTTGATGGTGGTGTAGCCGGACGACTTGTCCAGCTCGGGGGCGGGTGCCGGCGCCGGCTCCGTCTCCGCCTCCGATACGGGCTCGCTGTCGGCGTGTGGCGGCGGCGACGGCGGCCGGGAGCTGACCGGCGTCACCGGCTGCGAGGCGGCGCCGCCCTCCGACCGGCCGCCCAGGATACTGGCCAGGTCCTGGCTCGAGTACCGACTCAGGTCCTTACCACGAGTGAACTTGTGGTAGCTGCAGGACGAGGGATTGCCGTTAGCTACAATACGAGATATTGCAGGTCGAGGCTGGGTATTGATCCACTCGTGTTCAGCTGATCACATCATCAAAAACTTTGTTAACACAAATCACTTATTATACTTATTAAATCCCAAAAGGCATTCACGCCCAAAAACTATAAAATATAATACTAATACTAAAAACAAAGCATGATTGCCATCGAATGCAAAAGTTACAGAGACTACTGCAACTGCTGTGGCCCTTATAGCTTACTAATCGGGTATCTTTGATACAAGTGAGGATAAGTACGTACTGAACACGAGCTCGAGACTTCTTTGACCGCTCTTCTAGGGACTTGACACTGGATTTGGCCTTCGAGTCACCACCTGTCTCCTGCTCCTGCTGCAGGTTGGCCAGCAGGTCATTGAAGTCATCCAGGTGGGCCACCCAGTCGTCTGTGCGGCCCTCGTAGCCCAAACCTGAAATCACAATGGAACAGTTACTGTTTAGTTTTAGCCTGAAGAGGTGGTAACATTATAGAATCATGGCCGCGCATATATGAATCAGGATATAACATTTACAATTTACACGGCAGTAACTATGCAATACCTAAGTTAATGAAAAGAGGAAAACATTCCTATAAATAGGACCAAATTACATGAAAAAATGTGATGAATTAAAATGGCCAGTTTGGTGCAATTCTCAATTTCAATTTGATTTATTTATTCAAAGTTTGAATATGAGTTTCAAATCTTTACACAGAAATAGTTCACTTTGACATCAGATTAATGGTGTGATTTTGTAGCAAGGTGCTGACCTCTGGAGTCATTCTGAACAGATGGTCTGATGTGCTCTGTGATGCCAGCCATTTCTTTTCCCAGGCCTTTGCCCTTACTCCATCCCATCTGCTCCAGCATCTTTTGTCCAAACTTGCTGTCATCTGAGGAAAGGAGTCAGTCAGCTTCTCACAAATGAAGGAGGCAGCATGACCAATAAGATGTTTAGTTTAATCCACAAATCAATAATACAACACTTCAAATATTACAGCTAGAAAACAAAATTGATATTCCAAAGCTTAGGATATAGTAACATAATGTATACATAATATAATTTGTATAAATTATAATGTACTTATACATAATAAAGTGACCATGATAAATTATCAGCCTCACTCTTTGCATGCATGGAGAATATTTACAATGTTACTAATACTATCACATTCAAATGAAGCATGACATATCTGATGATTGTAGAATACTGCAGACACCTTAACTACACAAACATCTACTTACCTTCAGCCCACTGGCTTTTGCGTGGATTTAAAATCCAGGCTTTTTTCCTTCGTGGCTCAGCAAGCATTGACATTGCTCAGCATATGACTGATCAGTGCCAGGTAGCTGAAAAAAACGTGAACAGAACTAAGTCATTTAGGCATCTTAAGATGTTACAATTCAAATGACTGTTATAAGTGACTTTTGAAATGCCTTACTATTGCTTTTCAGTTGGGTTGAATTCGTGTTTTGTCTTTTACTGTTCCAGATTCCCAGACTGCAAAGCATGGAGATCTCGACTTGACAAGGTCCTGTCTGTGCAGCGGCACTGTTGGTGCATGGTCGGGTGCAGTTTTACCATAGTGTGATGCAGAATTGAAGTGCAGCAGTGTGGGTTATAAGAGGTTCAGTGCAGTACCGCCAGTACTACTGGCAGAGCAATGCGCATTGTTCGAAAAAAAAATAATATGCACAGAGACACAATGGGGACCACCAGGAAAGAATTCAATTTTTAACCCTCGTCCGTATTGGCATTTTCCCAGCGTCTACCGTATGGAGGGGGCGGGGGGTCCGTTTGAACCCCTTGCCACTCGGCCCCCGATCGAGCTAGAGCCTCGCGGAAAACGAGCGTGAATTGTCCGTGACGAGAGGAAGCCGAAGATACCCAGTTTCTAGGTCATTGGCTGACCTTCCAGGTCAGGTTAATGACCAATAACTCGGAAATATCGGGGCCGCTAGGACTTCGTAAAGCGAGGTTGTTATCAAATTTTTCGGGGTGCTGATGACGAATTTTAAGTATGTTTTGATCACAGATAATGTATTCATGCATTTAGGCCACGTTGGGTCAGGTCGGGTCAGGTTAGGTCAACCATTTAGTGTCCTGTCAGCTAGTCATGGTAGGTGTCAACTGTCAACCACCAATGAAAGTTTTGTAACCTGTTACGAAATCACCATGTTGAGACGCCAGGCAGTCGGCGATCGTCTGTATTGGACACCAGGCAAACGCACGCGACCTCTGTCCAGCTCCGACTGACGCGCCCCGCCAGCGCCGGCGCCCGGCTGACCGGCGGCCGGCGCACACTAGCCCGGGGCATAGTGGGCGGCCAGTATGGATGCGAACGGCACCTTTGGGTGCCGTTTGACCCAAAGGCGGCACCTTTGGGTCAGGATCATAACATTTTCAGGGTAGGTCAAAAATTGATCAATTCGAGGGAATGGATTGTAGCAATTGGCCTCTTTTGCAAGAGTTATTCACAAAAATGAGGGGGTTTATTCACCCCCCCCCCCAATAATTGCAAGGGTTACCAGGGCCTCGGCTAAGGAATTTTGACTGGTGGGCCACTTGGGCAGCGCGACATGGACTGACCTTCGTAGCCATAGCCCCCCCCCCCGCCTATTTTCGATTTCTCCCCAGATTTCGGCCACTTTATTCTGCAAAAAACGTCAGGATGGCATAAAAAATGTTTAAAAAAAAAACGGGACTCGACCCCCCCCCCCCCCGACTCTTCAGAGAGAGAAGAGAGAGTAGGGACCCACAACCCTCTCAGTGGTGATACTCCGGCGGTGCACATAAAATCGCACAAGTATGCACAAAATATTGACGCAGATTATAAAACTTTGGACGATAACTTACGGCCGGTCGCGGATGTTACAAATCAGCGAGCCCTGAATGGATCGCTCGCCGACTAGTCGGAGATTCGGAAGCGGTCGGACGGGATCGGGCGTTGTTGGGTGGATCGGGAGGAATTGTGAACAGCACGAGTGCAACTTTATATATAAAGTGGGTTGTAGCAGGAACCCCAAAAGGGGGTTGTAGCAGCAACCCCAACATCTCTGAAAATGATCATTAAGCCTTTTGGTGTCGCATGGAAAAGAATTGACTCAAAAGCCCAAGCGCACTGCGCAACCCAATATTTTCTAAAAAACTAAGTTATGTACACTTCTGGTGAACAGTGTCCCAAACTTCAGATTTCTCTTGGGTGTCTGAGTGGAAAATGCTAGCCATCCAAAATGTGAGAATGGAAAATTATCCATTCTTATTCTTGACCTTGAGTGTCATCTTCAGCCCAAATGAGAAATTTTTGGAACGCTGACTGTGAACGGTTCGAAATTCGTCCAACTGGTCAGATGTGCGACTGCAAGCATCATACCGTTCGTGAAGACGCATAATATCGCTTGCAGTCTTCAATCGGCTGGAAGTTGCCGACACTACCTCTAGTTTGACTCTGGCCTATATCGTGTCTATCGGCGAGCCGTCTGAGATCGCTCGCAGGCTTATCCCCGACCGTCTGAACTGGTCTGTTCTTTATTCGTAGTTTTTCTTGTAACCGACTGGTCTGCAGGCCGTGTTACACTGCCGAATTTTGGTCACGACCCTGTCGCCGAATCACGTCGTGTAGGAAATCGGCGAACAGTTCAACGACAGAGGCGAACAGTTCGCCGACAGAGCCCGATTTGCAGAAAACGGGTGGGGGGCCCCCCTAATCGTGCGCGGGTCAAAGCTGATCCACGATTCGGCGCGGTGCGAGCGACTTTAGCGAGTGTCATTTGAGCGAACGTCATTTGAGCGAACCATTTTCAGCGAATGGCAATTCAGCGATTATCAAGTTCATCGATTATCAAATATAGCGATTATCAATTTTAGCCAAAGCTATGTTTCAGCGACATCTATTTCGTCGACTACAATTTGAGCGACTGTCAATTCAGCGAAACATTTCATCGTCCTGTAACGGTGGATTTTTTTCTTTTGCGAGCGTATGCATACGAATGTTTCCGGAATTTCTCATGGTTATCCGGAACTGGATGGCGGATGTTGCGCGTTCAAAGGTCAGACATTGAGCTCCAAATTTAATGCTACATTTTTTTTCAAAAATTCCAACGGTTCAATTTCACCCCCCCCCCCCTACCCCCTGCTCTTTGTCAATAATGGTGACCAAACGTTTGTTCAGAGATCAATATTGCTTGTGCTTTTTTCACGAGATTGCCCCGCTTGAATTTGGATCAGTTCCCCATGTTGTAAAATTTGTTCTTGCCCCAAGCACCGTACGAATTTCCAGATATTTGGGTGAGGTCCCTGAAACATAGACTGGATTCCCCTGTGCCATCTCTCTAGTTTATTATTGGTCCTTGGCATTCCTTCCGTCGCCCTATCTCTCACGTTCCACATTTTCAATTCAAATTTTGCCCGCCTCCTTCCCCTCCCATGCACCCCTTGTTGGTCGTCCGATGTACATACGTGTCTTCAAAATTCAAATGATGTGTAAAGAGGTGCAATAATTTCTGAAAAAGTAGCAAATGATTGACTTTCGTCGCGTTCGGTCATTCGCTGTAACTGCATCGCTCAATTGGTCTCCAACTGACCCCCATATATTCGCTCAATCTGGTTTCGCTGATTCTGGTCCTCGCTAAAGTTGATAATCGCTGTGATTGAATTCGCCGACTTGACAATCGCTGAAAAAGCCAATCGCTTAAATTGATAATCGCTGAAAATGTTTCGCTCAAATGTCGTTCGCTGAAATAACGTTCGCTCAGGTGTCGCAGAACCGATTCGGCGAACATCGCGAATGAATGGCGAATCTGTTGCGAATAGTCGGCGATACCTTGGCAACAAGTCGGTGCACGCAGCGACATGTCGGCGGCGAGTCGGCAACTGTTTGGCGATCATGTTCGTTTATTATAAGTTCGGCGAACGGCCACGAAATTTTCATTTTTCATGAAATATTCGTGGTGGTCGTGACGAACCGTAAAAGTCGCGCGGTGGACACCGACTGGTCTGCTAAATGCCAAGACATTGGAGGAAAGATCCCGAATCGGTCCGCGACATAGGATGACTTGCATATTCGTGCACATTCGTGTACCAAAATTCGGCAGTGTAACAAGGGCTTGCGGCAGATGCTTATGTGACTGTAACCACTCGATCGATCGGAAAGCTCGCAAGAACTCTCGCAGACCTCGATCGGCTGGAAGCCGCCGACACTATCTGTAATTGACAGAGGCAAACGTCTTTCACGATTATTGAATAAAATTTAAAGCCTCGGTCACACTTAAACGGATTGGACCAACGGACGAGAAACGGACGAGAACTGTCAGCGTCCGGTGATGTCCGTTTGTTTCCGTTGGACGTCCGTTTGTCAATATCCGTTCCATGTCCGGTGGTGTCCGGTTGAGCACACCAGACACCACCGGACATGGAACAGATATTAATGGATGAGAAACGGACGTCCAACGGAAACGAACGGACATCCCCCGGACATCACCGGACGCCGTCCGTTTCTCGTCCGTTGGTCCAATCCGGTGAAGTGTGACCGAGGCTTAACCTACGGCTGTCTGAAGAAACCGGGAATGGTGATGGTATTAGGCAGGCAACGACGATCAAGTTCTTACTTTTAATAAATGCCACAATGTAGTAGGGCCTCTGTCTCTGCCTGTATCACAATATTACCTACGTCTTGATGTAAAATGTGAAAACTTCGATTTTTCGGAAAATTACTGGTGGGCCAAATCTTTGAGGCTGGTGGGCCATTTCGGGTCACTGGTGGGCCAGTTGGCCCACCAGTTAACATGTTAGCCGAGGCCCTGAGGGTTACTGCAATTTTATTAAATCACAAGTGTATATTTGTAAATTATGTAGCAAAATATCTTGAGGTTGTTCAGCACAGGTTGCAATGGAGTTCCAGCCAGGTTTGTGCAAGCTGGTGCAAAATGGCCATCCCAGCCAGTGAGTCAGTGAGCCAGTGTTGACCCTGTTGCATGTTTTGTAATCTTGCCAGATTCCTGCTGTTGTAATAAATCACAAGTTAACATCAAAACTTTACGTAAGATTTAGAACTTTGATACACACTATTAAATTACTTGAATTATGAAATGTCTTTCAACTGATACAGGCATTATTTAACTAAGGTCAAGATTGGGATATAGGTACTTTTGCTGGCTCATTGCTAGCCGCTACTGGTAGTAGCAACTAGCAATAACAGCAGGTGTCACACTTGTTTTCTGCAACCACAGAGAGGTGCCATAGGTTAGGTTGTAGGTTGTAGGTAAGGTTTGGTTAGATTTGGTTTGATTGGAAAGCATCTCTGGGTATGGCGCCTCTCCTTGGTTGCAAAAAAACAAGTGTGATGCCTGCTTTCCTACTACCTGCTACTGGCGCTGCTAGCGCTTTTTGTGAGCTGTCATCTTAGGTTGTGGTCAACCGTAACTTCGTAAGTATGGGGGCCCTGTGCGATGCATCACCCTGTGAATTACCATCATCCGTCCCGCTGAATAACGGCAATGTAATTGATGACCTCACTCAATGTTAGAGGGTCCAAGTTTGTTAAAGGGACCCTCCCACCTTAACATTAGATTTGAGTTGAGATAGCCAAAATGGGGTCCCTGGCTCACAATTACCGGTTTCGGCACTCACAACATCGAGAAATGCCTTAAATCGGAAATATTGAATTTCAAAATTGCAGCATTTTGATTCAGAGGGGCTAATGCTTAGGAATACCCCTCTGAATGTGTGACGTCAGCGCAAATATCTAACGATTTTTAAATGTTTGACTAAAACGTTTTGTAGCACGCGGTGGTATATGCTATTTGCGCGCAACATCTGCCGCAAACGCCGCACTTCTTAAATAAAGTCGCTAGAAACAGCGGAGATCCCAAAAAAGTAAACAAAAGTAAAAGTCTAATATCTTGAAAACCGGTGAATATTTTTCGGTGAAATTTGGTAGATATTCGTTTTCGCTCTTTCTGAACCGAGCGACATCACTTTCATGCCAATTCATAAACTTTTTTGAAGGTGGGAGGGTCCCTTTAACAATTGAAATCTCCATAGAAACTGAATATGCCATGTGCAACCGGCAACATACTAGCATACCAGGTATGCTTTGCATACTAGCATAGCATACCGTCAGCATACCAGGAAACAGCCCAGAAGTCTTAACACAAAAACCAAGACCGCTTTGACTTGCAACAGAATCCATGGATGGGACTCCATGACCATACCCATGCCCAACAAAACAACCAAGGGACAGGGACGAATTCCAGCGGCAGTGGCCTGCCTGTGGCGTAAAATTGAACTGGCATAAAATTCACAGGTGGACTAGAATAAATTTTTCTGTTATAGAAATGATACAATCCACATGCTGAAAGCACTCTTTCGCCACACAGTAACACAAATACCAAGGCTATATCACAAATACTAACACACAAATTATGAATCAGAATGACACCCACAAACAGTACACACGTGTCGGCCCGTGCAGTAGATCTGCGTCTTGAACGAATCAAGAGCGTCATCAATGCAACATACAGAGCTTTAAAATTTTACGTTTGAATTACCTTTTCTCAAGAAACCATATTTATTTCAAATATTACAATTCAAAATTAAAAAATAAAACTGATCGTTGTATTTGTAACGTAAAAAAATTGTTTTAAAAATATTTTACTTTTTCATTTACTCAAGAGTATCATTTATTCATGGTAAACCAATCAGCGAGCTCCATTGCCGTACGTTTTGAAAGTATCGCGGCGGAAATCGCTAAAGACGATTTCGACGATTTTCACTATCGGGTGGACTTGGGTGGGTCGCTTTGAAAATAAACTTTATTTACGAAAGGTAAGTTGTGGTTTTACATCGAATGCTGAATGTGTTTAGTTTATTCACTCTTTGTGGATAGAATCCTAATATGTGTGCCATCATACGCTTGATAGTCATACGCATGACTTCGTCTTATTCTCTGTTCCAGTTTTGAGACGCACCGATCAGCTGGGCGAGTTTGAATTCAAGTTGGCTGGCGTTCACGTCCTCTTTCAACCAGCTAATTTTCAACTGCACAGATGGCCTCACGACCAAGAGTGGATACAACTAAGGAGATTGCGCAAGTTATTTTGGACCCTAAAACAAGGAAAAGATACCAGCGTGGAAAGTTTCTCGGAAAGGTGTGTATCTGCTATCTACCCAAGCTGCCCAATATGGAAGTTGATAAATAAGTACCCAGTAGATGGATGGTGAAGGTAGTTAGATCTTGCATAGTGCATGGCATAGTTATTAGATTTTTTAGACATCAATCTAGGAAGTTATGGAAGGTATAAGTGAGGATAGCTTTTACAACGCTGGAGGATCCAGAAGTTTTCAATGGGTTCTTGAAGGCCCATTCCACAAAGCTTGAGGAGATCTTTAATTTTGTTTTCATGTATTGGTTTGCAGTAAAAAACAAGTCCTCGAATTACATTTTTAGGTTGAGAACACAAACAACATATACCCTGAATGCTCTTCCCTTAGATTTCATAGCATGTTACTAATTTTAATGTAAGCTAGGTTATATTGTTCAGTAGTAGGTAGGTAGGTAGGTAGGTATTTACTTGGATGAGCAATGAGGTAGGTATCAATAGATCATTTCCACAATTTTATCAATATCTTTATAGTTTAAACTGCTAACTCACTAGGTAACTACTAAGTAAAAAAGTAATAGGTGGAGGAAACTGGGTTACACCAAGCACCCAATTTATTTGTTTTAAATATGTTCTGGGCAAAAGATAGAAGATTATATAGAAGCAGAAGTTTACTACTTAAAAAGTAGTAAAAATAGAAGTGTTGTTAGTAGTTAAGTATTTGTCTTAGTGGTAAACAAAATAAAAGTTTTGAAAGTTTTGAAAGTTTTGTTGCCACCCATCTTTTATTTTATTGTTCAAAGTGATGATTCAGATAAATTCTTACCTGAATTCACATCACAATACTTTGTCAGTTACACACTGGTGGCATTGTAAGAGTTCAGTAACAACCAAATCAGGAACATTTCACAAATGCAATTATCTTCCATGATATGCATTAACTTTAAAAATAATTGTTAATATGGCCACCCCTCCTGCCTCCAGTCTTCCAGCCTGATGATTTTTTTTTTCCTTTCATCAAAATGGAATTTTTGCTACCTTTTGAATTAAATTATCTTCACAATATGTATTATCAAGATTAATGACATTTTAAAAAGAAAAAAAATAATGCAATGGATAATTTTGATATAGTTATTGAAAGAGTACCTAAATAATATGTCTGAACAAGGATTCCCTGATTTTCCTTTGAATATTTCCTCTGTAGCTGTTTCATTGGGACTTCTCTGACTTTTTTAACACTGCTTCAGTATGCTTACTTGTTCATGACTTCAAGCTTTAGTTTTGGGCAGGGGTGCAGAGCCGGAGCCGGCATATGTATTTTGCCCGGAGCTGGAGCCGGAGCCGTCAAAAAAGGGGCGACTCCGGCTCCTGTTTTTTGAAGAGGAAAAATGATTGACCTAGTTCGGTTTGACAGTACCTACAAGGCAGTGACAGTCACTCAGAAAATGCCAGAATGCTCGTAGTTGCACCGACGGAACGATCGCCTTGAAGCTCTCAGCGATTGATGAGAGTGACAGTTTGTATAAAATGTATATCTCGGAATTTTGATATTTATTACCTAAGGTCATGTCAGTTTTGCTCCATCTCTATTGTAACTTGTAAGTCAATGGGAGAAAATTAAAGAGTCTCTTGGACGGAAGTCATTCTAAACACTCAAACATCGAGAGACAAGTAACTTTGACACACTGAATCGGAAAATTGCACTTGTGACCCCTCGCTATGTGCTTCAGGTCATCTCAGGTCATGAAAGGATCCCTGCAGTTTTTTTTTTTTTGCAATAACTTGATAGAGGCATGCTAGGGCGATGAAAACACCTTAGATGTGTTTAAGTCGACGATACGGATAGACTGATATGCAAATGACCTTTCCGATCAGGTTATGATCTTGACCTTCGGTCAAATTTTCAAAATGACCTTATAAGGGCAAATTATAGTTCAATCGTCGCGACTCGATGAGGAGAACACGACGCAAACAAAATAATTGTGCCTTTCTTGAGTCAAAAGTTAGTACAGAAAAAAAATATTTTTCGTAAAACGGCTATTTTTTAGTTTTTGCTCTCTGCAGGTCAAACCGTTGATCCTAGGTCAAATTTGAAAGCATATCCAAGAAAGAGCGTTAAAAGTGCTATCGAATGCGCTTTCAACATTTTACTTTTGATGACCTTTAATGTCCTGACCTTTGACCTGACCTAAGAGAATGACCGAAGTTTTGACGCTCTTTCGAATGCCACTTACCGCGTGTCGCTACGTGGCCCTGGATCCGAGTTAGAAGGGGGGGGGGGGTGTTAACCCGCGCGGGGCTGGAGTCTCCAGCCGAACGCGCTGGGCTGGGGGGTAAATTTACTAATGGTCCGATTTGGAAAATTCAAACGCCAATCGAAAGATCTCATCACGAACAACTATAAACATGTACTTAATTTAAAGTTTGAGGTCAAGGTCAAACTGAGGTCAGCTGTCAAAAGCGTGGTTTTTGAGGTTGCAATGCTACCGAGATCAGGCAATGGAAGCTATGAGCTTCATACTTCATGGAAAGCCTTCACTTGAATGCAGCAAGGTGCTTTGAGACCGTTAGGCTGGTGGCATGACCGGGTCAGGTCAAGATGAGGTCACTAAAGGTCACCATAGTACAAAAATCGCCTGTAGTGACGTCACATTTTTGCTTATTTCTCGAAAAGTTTTCAACCGATTTTATTTTTATTTGGCACAAATGTGTAAAATTGATGTAAGAAAAGGTACTGAAAGTTTGGCGGCGCTCGCGAGGGGGGTAAAATTAACCCCCAGCCCCGCGCGGGTTAAAACGCCCCCCCCCCTTCCCTTCCCCAGCCCGGCGTGGTTGGCGCCGAGCTCGGGCGCTGCTTTAAGATGGCATGACATGCTAATTTTTTCATCATCGCAGGGTGGTTTTGCGAGATGTTACGAGCTTGTGGACCCGGACACGAAGGAGGTTTTAGCTGGCAAGATTGTCTCGAAGGCGCTGCTGGTGAAGCAGCACCAGAAGGAGAAGATGACCCAGGAGATCACCATCCATCGCGAGCTGCACCACAAACACATCGTCGGCTTCTCCAGCTTTTTCGAGGACAGCGAGAACGTCTACATTGTGCTCGAACTTTGCCGGAAAAGGGTGAGGACGCTATCATTTCTGTACAGCGCTAGGAATGTACCGGAGTGGGGGTGAACAGGAGAGGGAGTGGACGCTATATAGCGGCATTGTTGCGACTCCCTAAAATCCCTGTATTGATCGTATCGAAACCACAGTCGCGAACTGCAACTGTAAAAGAGACCATTCTCTCACCAGCTTACACTGGCTGTTTTCTGGGATAAATAAAAGAATACGGTAACTGCGATTCATGATCAAATT